GCGATAATTCGAGCTCGCCGGCATTGAGTTCTTCTATATCATCGCAAGTCATAAGTACAGAGAACGGACAGCAAACAGGCGATCCTCCTACTACTAGTCCGCAACCTTTGATGACTACCCCGACCGTCGAACGATTGCTTCCCATTGGTACAATAGCCCGAGCGACTGGTAAGCAATTCGTAATTATCGTTTTATTAATTAATAATAAATGAGACAAATAATTCCTTGTAGGATCACGAGCTGCGCAACGTATATTAAAATGCGAGGATACGTATGGCTCTCCGGAATCACCATTGTCAAAAATGGACATTTTGACAGTCAGTGAGTAAAACGATTTCGAGCGATATAATGGAATAAATAATTGATAAAGCGAGAGCAAAGTAAAATGGAAATAATATATAAATAGAAATATATGGTCTACGTGATCTAAAAAGATTGAAATTGATTGTAATTTTATAGGCTCTTCGTTCGAGCAAGACAGCGAGACTTGTATGTCCAGTGATATTACGAGCCCGCATAGCATTTCACAGCTGGAATTCCCGACGCCAGAACGATTGCTGCCGGTTGGTCCTCAGAGAGATTTTCCCAGCTTAGTCGAGCGAGTACGTCAAGCTCTCGACATTTCAGATGTCGAAGGTTTGTATGCGCCAATCCTGGGCTTTAGTGATAACAAATATTCATGTGTGCATAATGTTTTATCGAGAGTTGTTACAAATAAGAAAAATATTCTTTTTCAGATACTAATAAATCGAACAAGGATGCAAAGCGTGACACTCGTGGTATGACACTCACGAAGCAGGATAGCGAAGCATCTGACAATGTGGTAAGAAATTTGATTGATTCTTTTATAATTTCGCGTGATCTACTACAAACGCGTAAGGAATAGATGCTTACTTTTTAGACAAGATAAATCTGTAAGCTAAAAAAAAAGGTTATTATGCTTATTTGCAGTCGACATCGTTAGTGCCGACGTGCAATGAAGTTAATTCGAGTAGATCGCCAAGCCCGAGAAGACTAATTAAACAGGTGGCTTTGGAATCGTCTCCACCAGCGATCGATCCCGGAGATTTCGTCTCGAAAATAGCGGACTATGACCAGAAGATTAAGTCGAAAGACCAATTTCGAATTCAACGTGACCGAGCGCGAAAGATCACCGCTATAACGGATCAAGACGCGATTACTCACGCGAGGCGAACGGAGTCCTGGTAAGTTCCTCGTGTAATTAATATTTTTTTAAGCTAAAGTTTAATTATCATATTTTAATCCATATTATATTTATCTTTTACTCGTGTAGGTCTGGCACACAGGTCCAACAAAATTTAGACTTTGTCTCTCAACAAGCGTATCATGCGGATTTCAATTTAAAGCAGAGCTTATTTCGCATCGGCGACGATTGCGTTTACGACAGGTATAATTTAAGATTACTGGATTAAATGAATTAAATTTTTTTAGCATCGTACTGAATTCGATTCGATTAACATCACTACAGGTGTTCGGAGTGCGGAACGATAAGAGAGGAGTATTCTGACGAAGAGCTTGGATTGTGTATAATAACCTTAGGAACGTTCATTCATCGAGAGCCGTCTCTAGCGGCACCGTTATTGCCAGAAATACTCGGCGTGGTTACAAAGTAAATATTACTTTTATTATATATTTCTAAGCTGGTAAAATTAAGTACTAAATGTATGGCTTGTGTACTAGGGTCTCTCTTAATGCAATGTATCCTTGGCAAAGCGAAACGAATATGCACCTTCCAGGTGGTGCGGTCAGCGTAGCGCACCAATTTCTCAGATGCGTTCTCCATCAATTAGCACCTAATGGAGTATTTATGCAAATGTTTCAGACTCATTTGAACGGTAGGCATATTTTGCTGTTGATAGACCAATTCAAATTATTTTTCTAATCCTTAATATAACCATAATTCCTAATAATTTTAACAAGCGTAGATATTAATGATATAAAAAGTTTTCTGATAATTGTTCGCACATTGTTTTACGAATACAGCTGTTCTCTAACATCGATTTCCCTGGAAAATTTCAAATAATAATTATAATAAATTCCTTTTTCTGTTATTATATTCTTGCAGAAACGACAAGATTGCAGTTTTTCAAAAGCGTTGCACAAGCTTTGGTCGATTTTAACGAATTAAATCCGATCGCGCCCTTGCAATTATTGCTTGAGGTAAGAAAACAACTTGATTAGATATTACGCGTAAGAAGTGATAAATTCTTAATTGTCTTTGTAACTCACTACGTGTATTTTTTACTTGTTGATATAAGAAAATAATTAATTACATCCGTAAAATCCGATTTCAGACGCTAAATATGAAAAAGTCATTGCCGCTGGAACGGCTGCCAATAATATTATATAATATTGCGTGCTACTTGGATTGTTTGCCATTGGAAGCAGGATTGGGTCCTGCTGCGGCCACATGGAGTGGATTATTGGCACAGTTTGATGGATTATTCCGAAGACTTGTTCTCATGCTTCCTTCTCTCGAGGATATCACTCCCCTTTTGCGAATTATGATTTCAATATTAAAAGTTCCAGGGATTCAACAATCAAAGGTATTCTAATCAATAAAATTACGCGAAATTTTCCTTTCTTATCAATTTACTGATTAAAAGAAATTAAATTATAGCTCAATTAATTTATTTATACGTGTTATGTTAAATTAACATTGTATTTCAATATCTTTTTTAGGGAATGCTGGATCCATTCTCCAAAATATTAAGTTACGCTATACAAAACTCAACATTGCAATATAATTATTTGACGGACTTGTGCTATTTGTGCCACAGAGGATTTACTCGTGATCGTGACAAACACTTTTTTGGAAGGACGATTGTATTCGAATTAATTCAGGCCATTAAATTTAAAATTACAATACCAGACTCAAATTTTTTGTTACTGCTTCAGTTTGTGCTCCAAGTAAGTAATCGTATAATATTCATAACATACGTCAAGGTTTTCAATTCAAACTTTAGATATAATTATTCTATAATTAAAAATTGATTGAAATTAAAAAGATATTAATAATAACGTATAGGATATTGGAGGATCCTTGCCTAATAGTGTCATTGCGATGGAAAATAATATTCCAACGGACATGTCGCCAATCTATAATACGAATGCCTCCGAATCTTTAAAGAATCAGTTATCGGACGTGCTCGATTTCTTAACAGACTTTCATACTTTAAGCAAGATCAAGGTAATGCATTTAACACGTAAACATGTGTGTTAAATCGATCGCCAGTTAGAAAGATTCTGCGAAATTAATTTTTATCGTTATTTAATGGACTTCTCTTTTCTCAGAGTTACAGCAAAGGCATGCAAGCGGGATTAAACGAGGACACGATAGGCGGGATGTTAAAGTGTGGCCTTGCTCAATACGTAGCTTTAGAAATTACGAGAGGTAACAATAGAGAGAATAGAGCCGTAGCGCGTTATTTGCCGTGGTTATACACTGCACCGTCTATAACTCAAGGGTAGGCTATTCTTATCTCTTTTATCATCTCTATCATTCTCATCTCTTATTAACTTGCATTTTCTGCCATTAATAAGATTTTATATAATTAATTAATGAAATGGCTAATTAAATTCACCTAAACATTTGTTCCCGTAAACATTTTAGGGCTCGTGAATATGTCGATTGCATCGGCCACATCAGACTCCTATCCTGGCTGTTACTGGGCTCGCTTACGCACGTAGCAATGTACACTGGCAACAATAACAGTCATTCTCATTCAGCAGTACCGTTGGCGCAACCGATCCCTCAAGAAGTGTCTTGCCACATCGCAGATCACATACAAGTCATTTTCTCGGGGTTTCCAGAACAATCGAAAACCTCGGTCCTCCACATGTCCTCGCTCTTCCACGCGTTCATTCTTTGCCAAGTATTTATACCTTAGATTATAAAATATTCATAGCCTCTATTGAATTTGCATTAACGGAACATTGCGTTACTATTTTAGCTTTGGACCATGTATTTGGAGGAAATGTCGAAGAATAACGCAACAAATAGCGAGAGTCACAATGTCACCATGAATATCTTGCTGGAATTTTGGGGCAAGATAACGCCATGCATTTTGCAACTCGTTTCCTATTCGAAAGCTGTGAGTATAATTCCGGGTATAAATTTAAAGTTCTATTTTCTAAAATTAACACATTTGAAACGAGTTTGAGGCAATAACATGAAAAGACAATTTGATTTTTAGCTATCTGAAATGCTTAACTTGCATTTCTTAAGCTTGCTGGAGGCTTTATTGGAATGCGGGTCGATCTTGTTGAGTAAATTACTACCTCTATGGAATGCCATATTATTTTCTCATCATGTTCAGGTAAGAACAGAGTTTAGAGACAAAATCGAACAATCGGAGCAGAAAGACAAAGTACGGTGACTCATCGTTTGGCTTTCATTTTTTTAGCTACCGGGGCACTTACAAATGCGGTTGCAAAATTGCCGCGATTTCCCGCCGAATAGAATGGCGGAGAATTTCGTTTCTAATCGAAGAGAATCGAACGCGATACTCCTACGATGGTTACATCGTTTACAGTTTAAGATGGGTCAAATAGAAATGCAATCTTCTACCGCCACACAATTCTATTCTATTTAAAAAGAAGTAAAAGAAAATCAGCTTTACGAATTGAAAGTTTAGATATTGATTAAAAGCGACGAAAACACACAAAATGAGATGTTACAAGAAGTAGTTCTTTAAATTGTAACCACTATAAATGATTTTAATAAATCGTTAAATTTAGACTATGTTAAACTTCTCAAATACTTTTCATTTACATATAATCCAATCTCTAAATTAATTTTAAATTGTATCTCAAATTTCTATGTTTTTATCTAAAATTACGATAAATTGATATAACATTTTATTGAAAAATAATTTCTATTGATTATTTTACTATGTCAAATACGAAAAAAATTTGTTGCAATATTTTGAAATTAATTAAACATGGATACAGTACGGATGAAAAATAATCGAAAGAGGTGCTTTAAAATTCCATATTAATAGTGTGTTTATGCATTTGCAATACATAATTTAAGTACTATGTGCAAGATTGTTATTTTATGTCGCGTAAGAAATTTCGAACTTTACACAATTCCAATATTTATACCGTTGTCGTTGTTGTCGTTGTTGCTGGTCCTTTTGGTTTAATCATCATCAACGCACGTTTTAAAGTATAATCCCAACCTCTCCAACGGAACCATACGATACCTTTAGTAACAACATAATTTTTATTCAATGCAAATTGAGAACTTAATTTTGATTTTGATTTTTCCGTAATTTACGATCTCTATTCCATTAGTTAGAAGGATAAAAATTTCTTTTAATTTTAATATTCGCATTAGCGACGTAGAAACATACCTTGTCGTGCAGTAAGATCTTGTGGATCATTTAAGTAAAGACCGTTTAAGCCACGTCCACAAGACTTCCACCACCAACCACCCTTGAGCATCGAAGCACAATTCAAGGATGATCTATCGTTATCCCTAAAAGTATAAATATTTCTAAATCAAATAAGTTCTCATGGTAAATAATTTCGCATATACGGTAATACAAGAATATATATTTCATTTGTTATGCAATAAATGTTTTATATTATTTATTATATAACATGTATCTAATAACCTGTTGTACGTAGAGAATGGGCTATTGTTCGACCCGTACCAAGGATCGTTTAATGAATCTCCGGCATTTCCTTCGTACCCATCTATCTCCAATTTATAATACTCTCCCTCGGAATAAATCTTAAAATGCGAATACTGTGCATACCTAGTAAAATCAAATTATAATTGTACTCGATCGATTTCAACTTATACCAGGATGATCTATCGCCAGTACGGGAATTGGTAAGGCTTATACGCATTGTTAGTACCTTTTAAGTAGTAAAAAAGCTACGATAATCAATCTACAATTTAGGCATATACCTTTTGTTACCTTCGAAGTCCTCAAGTTCAACTCTGAGCATATAATCTTCATTATTTGTTAACATGTATATATTTTCATTGCCTAGCCAAAATTCTTTAGCAGGATCTCCAAATCCGTTTTTATAATCTGACCAATCTCTATTAAAGTTCTCTCTTGGCTCTCCAAAATCATCTCTCCTTTGAATAACCTTTAAGAATAAAAATTTGCTATAAATCTAAAATGCGAACAGTATGCAAATATGCCCGTATTATTATTGTTACGTATTCTTCTTATTATATTTCTTACTCTATTTTCCATTAAATTATAAAATTTATAACTTTTATTTTAATATCGTTATATATAAACACACATATATTGTTTGATATTGACAATAAACTCACCGACCAGCCACCATCAGCAATTTCCTGTTCACAAAAGACTTTAAGGAACCAGTACGTTGTACCGCGTATTTGTAGGTAGTACACTCCACTGTCTCTCATTCCTCCGTTTAATAAATCCACACAAGAATATCCCTAAATTCACAAAATGCAGAAGAGGTAGAAAATTAAAAATCGATATGTATATAGATAATATATCAAAATGTTTTCTCCTGCTCCTTAAAATAAATCTCGCGAAAAATATCTGATATAATCAAATAAGAATAAAAAATCTATTAAAATATTTTAAACAATTAAATACATTTTTGGCAAAATTTTGTAATTTTTTCCTTTAGCAAGCACATCCGTTTTATCGACTTTAAGACGATATTGAAAAAAAAAAAAAAAGAAAAATCGCACAAACTATTAAAATACCTTGATATCCTTATAATTGATTAATATTTCGCTTGTGAAAGTAGAATTTGCTAAACTGGGCTTATTTTTAACACTCGGGAATATCACTCCACGATTTCTACTGTTTGGTCTCGCGGTACTCGAAGATGTTGCCGTCATGGGTGTCGTGGAACTAGTAGGATTATTCGAGGGTGAAGCAACGGATGATATCGATGTCGTGGTTGACAAGGGCGGTGTGATAGTGGGTAGCGTAGATGTGGGCATCTCCGTTACAAAATCTTCGGTCACGCTGACGTATCTTGGAATAAACAACATAAAAATTACTTCGTATTTGAGTCATTTTTTCTACTTACAAAAAGTACTTTCAATCAACCGAAGAAATTTGTGGAAAATTTTCGTTGAGGAACAATTAAATTGCAATCAATTGTCACTACTTTTTAAAAAAATTGGACGCTATTAAAATTATTCTATAATTTATGTATATTGCTATTATATTATCACATAATTAATCTTTAATAATTATTTTGCAAATTATTTAATATAAGAAGTGCATACCTGCTTGGATCATATTCAACGAGTCGATCGATTGTTGGGTCCAGTAACAATTCAGCTGGAATCGGACGTTGCGCGAGAGTGGCCACATCGTCCTCCTGCTTCCTCAAGCGGCTCTCGACGCCCTCGAGGTTTTCAATGATTTTATTCGTTTTTGATCGTAGATCGGCGTGAATTTCGTTAATCGCTCGCTCTTGCCTTTGAGTCTGAGTAAGTAATTCGTCGGATTTTGGCAGCAGATCGTCCACTGAACTCTTGGTGCCCATCTAATATTATTCAAATCAACGTTATGTTATTCTTGACATTGTTAAACGCGCCAAACTGATTGTATAATGTATATCGGCTTATCATCAATACTGATTTGCACTCCCGAATCTTAATATTTCGTTCATATTTAAAACTTACCACTACGTTCCAAACTTGATCCATTTTTTCCGAAACGGTAAGCATCGGATACATTTGTTCGGCGAGACGGTCGATTTTACTTTGCTTCGTCGGAGCTTCGGTTGTTGTTAAATTAAGACGATTGTGCCGATTGTTCTCGTGATTTTTCTCGACAATAGCTTCGTGCACGTCACTAATCATATTGTACACCGCTCCGAGATTATCCGACACTAGATTCATATGGAATTGAAGCTTTCGATCCATACTACCTGTCGCTTGCTTAAGATTCTCAATCTCGAGCGTCATATGGTTCATCACCTCGTTACTCATAGCCTTGGTGATCTCGATGACACTCATACTGACAGGCTTCTTCTCACTCGCCTCGGCATTTATATCGTCATTTTGTAAGAAATTGTTGTCGAGCTGATTCTTAAGATTGACAAGCTTATGATCGATGTCGGAAACTTTCTGATCCAGAGAAATCAATTTTTCGCCAAGGTTTTCTGGCGACTGGTCATTTTGATCATGATGAATCATACGTATTAATGGAGCTGTAAATTTTAAAACATTGGGCGATTTGATTTCAAATTATGCAGGTACTTTCACAATGAAAATAAAATAAAATATAATAATTCTTTCTTAAAATAAAAGCTCGACTTATCTCTACGTGTACATACATTTTGATAGCTTAGAAATGTCTTAAAACAGTCTGAAAATGCAATTTTTTTCTCTTTGTGTGTTACATGCGAAAAAAGAAATCGAGATCGGCTGAATAACCAAGTATAAATAGCTTCGTGAAGGTACATATCGCACACTTACCATCTTCCGTATGACTTCCGCTTTTACTTTCGGTAATCCTCGTTGCGGTTTCCGCGGAAACTATGCTAGGATACGCATTGAAGAGCTTCAAATCTAACGTCCTAAGTTTAGTAATGACCGCATCCGTCTTGTCAATGTTATCGTTTACGCGTGAATCTAAAGCCTCTACTCTTCTCATCAAATGCTCCACCGCTTTATCTAAATTCTCGATTCGCTGTAACTTGGACTCCAAAGTCGATACTATTACTTCGAAGACGTTGAAAAGGTATTGCTCTCTACAACAAATAATATTCATTGCCTTCGTCTAATTGCTGCTTCACATCATCGCCAATAATCGTCTATCAAACAAACGCTTTTCAGTGCTAAAATAGATCGTTCGAAAATATATTTTAATGTTTTCTTGATTACCATTAAATAAATTTTAGTTAATAAATTTTTTATCATTGGTAATTTAATTAACAGCGCGCAGCACTGTAATTTTATCATTACACAAAATTACTCAATTACTTCGGCCGCTATTACATTAAATGAAAAAGACTCATTATAGTACCGCGAATCAAACATTTGCCACGGCTCTCCATCGTTCTACTGAAGATGCATCGCATTTAGTGTCATTAATGTGAAGCTACAACATCGCGTGATGCACGGTTATGAATACATTCGCAAACTAAATGGAAAGTTTCGTAAGCGGATCGGCAAGCTTTGGAAGTATGATCGACTGGTTTACGTAACGAGCGGTTAACTGTTCGGTTCTCCCGTCTATAAGAGATCTGTTATTACGGTTCATTTTGTACTTTATCCCTCGCGTAAAACCGAAAGAAACCGAGATGTTCTCGTTTGAGCAAAAAAAAAAGAAAGAAAAAAGAAACGACAAGAGAGAGAAAATCATCCTCTCTAAATTCTCTCACCTATTTCGCTGCAAATTGCGAGAAGACGACTGTAGCGTTGCGCCGGTATTATTATGGCTTGCACTACGCGTGCTGCGCTGATCAGCGGATGTTCGAGGTAATCTAGGACTTCCCGCTAAGACAAAGCCCAAAACGCACGCGATAACAATCACCGTTCGTTTCATAATTACAATTAATGTCCTGCGAATTCGTAATATTTTCAAAGAGCCTCGAACCGTCGACGCAGCTACGTTTGAAGACGCGAGCGCATAGTTACGTAGACAGGTACATGTACGAAAAAGTCATTCAATTCACAATTAAGTTCGACTTATCGTGAAATCCGATGAAAAAAATGGACGAATGCGCGCGAATCCATGTACGCTTTCGTGTACTCTTCTTCCTTCCTTCCTCTCTTCCGTTTTGTCTAGCCTCGTTGCATGTGTGAATATACATCTAACTTCTGGTACACACTCGTCACTTATTGCACGTGCACTTTGATTTATCACATAGTGTCGCGCGGATGTAAATAAAACCGTGGTTGAGATTCATTTATACGGTGAATCTTGCTCATTCGCGCATAATTACAGACTATAAGGAATTCAATTCATGCATAAATCTCTTTAAATTTTTCTGCACGGAGCCGTATGCGACTTGGCGAATACACGAAATAAACGTGACATATCTTTCGAGAATGCGTCAACGCATCGCGAGCGATTTCACTCGAAAATAATACAGGAAAATAAATTATTATTATATACCGATATGAATTTCCGCGTCACACTGTAATCACTTATACTCGTCTTTATCTTGAACGGAAGAGTTTTTAAGCTCGACAAGAAAAGATTCGATATTTGCGCGCACTTGCACCCTCTTTCAAAGGCAGCAAACTAATAAAATTGCGGAAATGCCATGTAGAACACTTTGCGTTACTGCAAGGGAGGATGTCCAATTTAAATTGAGATAGCTTTACTTCACCGGACACTGTAGAACTGTAGACTGGAACAACCAATTTTTATTACTATCCGATTGAGAAACAACGATCGATTCTCCTACATGAAATTTTGCTTGTCTTTCACTATTTCCACTTTTATTTTCCCCTTTTCTCCTTTTTACTTCTTCTTCTTGTTGCGGTCTCGCTGCTAATGTCGCTCTGGTATCGAATCCTTCAAAAACAGGCGCAACTTGAGGGACAGCTGACGATGAAGAAGATTGATTGAGACGAAAGTGTCGGACAAGTGTATAGAAAGTTGAGGAGTACGTCGCGCGATTAAAATATTGCGTGTGCCGTGGATGAGTCAACTCGCGCGTCGATACGGTAATTAATTAGCGAAGCGATTAGAACGGATCTCCCTTTTTTATTTTTTTCTCTCTCTTTTTTTTACAGCGTGTCGACCGCGGCCGTAGAACCGGTCGATTGGAGCCGTACGGGTATATACATCGCACGATCGGACGGAAACACGCTACGGCATGGCACGTCGGTCGTGGATAGCCGACGAGAGTGCGACGGGCACGCAGTTTTCGGTCAACTGTAAGACTTACTTTCACATTAAAGTGGCCGCGCACTCGCGCGCGCGCGCGCGAACATACGGGCGAGCGAGTGAGCGAGCGAGCGAGCGAGCGATTCGAGCGAGCGAGCGTACTCAACAGTCGCGACAGCCGCTCGTGAAACCCTTTCCTCCCCCGCTACCGCTCGGTTCTCGGACTCTCACTACCATTCCTTTTCAACTTGGAGAACCGGCGGTCCTGGTCCCATTCTCCAGTCTCGGTCGACCTGTACAGGTGGCGGTGAACGCGGTGAAAGGGTGGGGTGTTAAGACCCCACGGAGAACCTGGAGAACCTTTCCCGTACCACTACGGCTCGCCGCCGCATAGGCCGTGCGCAGCGAGTTGCGACCGGGAACCTTTGCAGAAAACGAAACCGAGAGTGCCTGGCCGGAATGAAAGGGGACTGCATTGCGTCGCCATCCGGTTATGGATTTTCATTCAGGAAATACACACATACACACACTCCGCCCGCTTCAGATCTCTTTTCGCGACGATTATCGTAACTGCTTTGTTCTCAGGACCCTTTACGGAGCGAACGCCAACGAGTTCATTCCGCAATACGGAGATCGAAGAGCGAAATGAGAAATCATAGTTTTTTGACTTGCTGCATATTTTTCATAAAATTCAACGCGAGTGTTTTAAACTCACTTGAATAGCTTCTATTTCTGCATAACACGTCAATATTATTTCTCGTAGAAATTTAAATTAAAGGTTTGTCAAATTTTAAAATAATTTTCCAAGAGCACCGCGTTTCTTTAATTCAATATAATAACTTAAAATTATGAAAATTCATCATCTCTGAGCTTTCTTTATTGACGTGACGTTTTTATTCTTGAAGCACTTCCGGAAGCAGACAAAATCATTAGGCAGCATGCATAAAAATCGAGAAATATGAAAATATGAATTTGCGCTTGCAATGTTTTTGAAAATGCAATTAACGACGAATATTTAAATGTAAATGCTAATTTAAACCACCTGAAGCCTATACTTTTTAATATCTTTCCATAAAAAATTGAAATCAATTAAGATCTGTTAACTTTATAAATAGATTTTTTTTTTCAAAAGCGCCGCGTTTCATCGGTATGATCCGCGATATCACAACATTATTACATTATAATACAAGAACCAATTATCTCCGATCTTCCTCTATCATGAATCTAGAAATTATGATAAAATTTCTTTCAATAACGCGTAATAAAATGTAGGCGTAAAAAAGCGATACATTTACAATTTCAAGTACACACCGTACTGCTAGCCTATTACGTCATAGCGTTAATAAGTGTGTTACGTGATCTATGATCACGACTCACAGGCATATGACGATGACTAGACACGATTAGTCTGACATAAATGAAAAATCACGTGGTCATTTTTATAGTCCGTAATGCTCTCGGAACAATCTCGCAGTGCGCCGCGATCGGCAATGCAAATCGAGTGCATATATCGGAATTCCGTGGATCGCGCTACAAGGTGAAGATAACGAGGGAAAGCCAAAGGAGACAAAGAGGTAAAGGCGTCACAGTGAATCGTATTAACGAAGGGGGAAACAAAATCCGCGGCGAGTTGAGACAAATTAGAAAAGGAAAAGGGAACCATATTAGAGAAGTATATACGGCGTATACGAGTGTCGATTGTCTACCGACTAACGATCTGTCCGACCGGTTTGTTTGCGCCGTTTATTTGCCGCCCGGGCGGATTGTGAGAAGCGGAGGAACGAGCGACGGCGGCGGTCGCGGGAACGCTGCGGGCGAAGTCTCGTTCGTTTATTACATCGAGGATACTGGAGTAAGGCCGAATCGGCGCGGCGCGAGTCCGCGCGCGCGACTCGGAGAATGGTTGTATATCGCCTTGAAATATCCCAGCTCGCTATGATACAATCTCCTCGCGATTATTATGTGCCTCTCGATCGTTGGGCAATCGGGGGATCGATGAAAAAAACGGATCTCTCTCCCCCTCCGTCAGCCTCTCCCCCGGGGGAGATCCGCTCGCGGATCCGAGAGGATACGCACCTCGATCGCGATCGCATCCGCCGATCGTGTCAACGGCCCTGCGCGGACCGATCCGGGCGACAGACAGACTCTCGCCGCGATTACGTGGAAAACCAGAGTGTCATCCTGCAAATGAAATCAACGGGGGCGAAGGAAGGGGGTGTCGTTATGTCGTCGCGTGCGAAACAAGCATCGAGCGCGCCTTGAGGCTTAACGCAACGACGCTTGGAAATGAGTAAATTATAGAGATCGCGATACCTATTATTCTTTTTTTTCCAATGGCGCTATTTACGCAAACAATAAGTGGCGAGCGAGCTGTAAGAACACTGAATTAAGTTAATAACGTTCCTAATGCGAGATTAAAAATGTACATTACATGTGAGGATGGCCTTGTTATTTTTAATTTAAAATGAAATAGACGCACAATTACAGAGATGACAAGAGGAGAGAGAAAAGAAATGAAAAATATCCAGTTATCCAATTATAATGAACGGACGAGAAATATTCAAATGACCTCGCATACCTGCCGAGGAAAAAAAATAAAATGGTGCAATGCGTCATCTCGTTAACAACAATACGTTCCCAGAGTTCCGTCGAGAGCCGCGCATTTTCCATATGATTATCCTTCCGACTTCTCGCGAACGCCGCGCAAATTTTCCGGACGTTTCCGTGAGAAAACGGCTGACATGATAGTTTTTTCTTTCCATTTTTTTTTTGTTTCATCGGATTCCTCTATCTAAATAGCGATTACATCACACTTTCGAAAACGAAAGTGCAACGTATGAAAGTCATGATTACGCAAGCGCGGCTAGTACAAGTTGGTAGGTTCGTAAATTGTATAGGGTCACACCGCGTTCGAGTGCTGTCGCACTAAAACATAATAAGGATCTTGGCCGACTTTGCGAGATAAGATATCGATTATTAAGTATTATTAGTGTTAATCTCTGAACTGAAATTTTTCACTGGCACTACCAGCAAACACGCACGTCATCGGTCGCGTCATCGTTTTTCATACTTTTGATAAGAAACGCAGGATTCTCCTCGCCTATAACTTTCTGTTTATTTAAATCGAGAATTTCTTTCTTGAGAATTTCTCTTCTTATTTTACAGGTATAAGATCGCCGCCCGCGGTTTTTATCTGACCAGTAAAGTGAGCGGATCGAATTGTTCACGAGATCGTTTGGGACCGTTTAAAATTGCGATGACAAAAGAATTCTACGAACAATTCACATTTATATATAAATGAGTAAATAAGTATAAGAGTAAGTAAATTATATTTTATTACCCGTGAGTATATGTATATTTTTTATTTGAAAACAGATTATCGTCTGAATAAGAAGTAATTCTTATATAACAGTTATTTAAGAAATTATACATTGTTTATATACACTCATAATACATAATATATACGTGTAATGTGTGTATATTGTAATGTATTTAAAATACTGTATAGTAGACTATATATTATACATAGTAGACTTAAGTAGAGTATCGTAGGAAATACCGTTTCTCGACTGGAAACGGGTAAAGGCACTTTAATTGGAGAAATGGTGGTCAGTATCTCGCGCCACGCCTCACACTCCTCTCTTTTCCTTCCTTTCTCTGTTGCGCGTTTGGTGTAAAAATAACTAACAGATGTAAGCGACACAAACCGTACTCCTGGGCGCCTTTCGTTCTAGGTAAACGTTAAAAGGTGAACAACCCGTTTAATAGATACACGTCAAGAATGTATAATTTATAATTTCGTCACGGTTATTTAATTATTTATCAGAGATAGAAATAGAAAGGAAGAGAGAGAGAGAGAGAGAGAAAGGGAGAGAGGATGGCACACAGAGCATACACAGAACTTCTTTTAGCAATAAGGAATTAGATTTTAATTGGAATTAGATAATTGCGATATCTATACATTTCGTAATGTTTATAGCTTGCTTAGTAACGATTTACGAACCAAGAATGATAACGAAAATAATATAAGCGATGCTTTTCAACGATCGTCCCAGTAATCGCGCTTTCTTATCATCGAGGTGCGGCAAGCGGTCGCGTGCTGGGCAGATTTATCCGTTCAATTCCGGTGTCTTGGCGATTTGAAACAAAGCTTAGAGTATTACTGACTCTCTGTCGTAAGAGACAAATAAGCAACATCCGGCCGATCTCCGCGAGATAAGGACATCAACGGGGGCAGGAAAGGAAAAAAAATGGCAGGCAAGAAAATTGTGTCAGACGAGCGATTGTACGATTATTTGCGTACGTACGCAAAAACAATCAAGATGCCGGTCCCGAAAATTCGCATAACTGAGGCCACCAATAAAGGCGATAATTACGTGAGCGTCGTTTATCGCGCGACGATCGAGGGCATCCAGGGTGGCGAGGTCAAGAAAATTCAACTTATTCTGAAAACCACATCACAGACATATGACTCGAATGAGTTTTTGAATAGCAACAGAGTCACCAAATTATTTCAGCGCGAGATATTCTTTTATCGAGAGGTGCTGCCTATTTTCAAACAGACTTTCTGGGAGCACGGCGGGACTATCGATCGCTTCCCTATTTTACACGACGTTAACGACGAATCCGGAAAAGAGGTAATAATTTTGCGGTTCACCACTGCTAAACGTGATCCCATGCCGATGAAGCAATAACACGTACGGAGCCGAGTATCATGTAATCGCATATGTAAATTTTGTACGTTGCTTTTACATAATCTCTTTTCTTGCGCGGATATAACGCGGCCGCGCACATAATGAGGCCATAAAAGAAAGACAACCGTTCGACAATCACATCTTTAAGGAAGTTAAACATATGCATGTATAATTGAACGATATATTATTGTTGCGAATGTAAAACTTCACAAACGCTAATTCATTGTTAGGTATAATATTATCTTTTATTTCGATCAGCTAAGAACTGCTTGACTTCCCGCACTCTTCGCAAGTTCTCGAGACAATGCGTTTCACGATGCGTTGCTAAATTGGCTCCGCGAGATTTATACGTGTAATAAAACGCAGGCATCACATCGCGAAGTGAAATGTCGATTTATAATGACACACACGGATATACGGGCACGCATATGCGCCCGCCCGGGCATAATAAACTGGTTTAAAGATTATCAAGTAAGACATAAGGTCCGGTTAACCTTTGCATTACGCAATCTTTTCGCTAATGGCCAATCTACATTTAAGCGTTAATGCGAAAGGATCTCTCATATTTCGGCGCGGCTCCATCATTTCACTTGCGAAATTATTAATTTTGGAATTTAATTAATTTCGAAATTCACGGAAGCGCGCGTCACGGCGGGAAGCTTTCCTTTAAATCGCAACCCTCTGATTATCCGCTCGAAAAAAATAAAAATAAAAAACGCTACCGCGTTCGAAGTTTTATATAAGAAAACGATCGGCAATCGCAACGATATATAAATAACTATATATCTTCCGCAATTTTTGGAGGCCTTTTCACCGGTCGTATTTAACAGTAAAGACCGATGTAATCAATGCTAGGCACGCGGTAGAGATACGCGGAGCAAAGTATGTATCTGATAATTAGATGGCTCGCGAAAGTACACGTGCACTTCTTAAAGACTTGATTCTTGTTTAGTACGTAATTTCACATACGTAATATCCCTGACATTTTGATGGAAGAACCTCTATGTGTACAAGATGTCAAAAAAAAAGTTAAAGTAATTACCTTCTAATAGAAGGTAATTCTTATCTTATCTTATCTTGCATAAGACGTATAACTTTAATCCCATCTAATCATCATACATAATTATATTTACTTAAGCGATAAGACCTTATCTAGAGAACAGAAACTATTTTGTAATTCGCATTGCAATATACAGTTGCGCTTTTTCATGACGAATTTATTTACATTATGCGCACGCGTACATGCGTACACAAAGAAGGAACTCTTCTTATCCGTTAATAAACAACTATGAATAGCCACTCGTGAGATGACGTGACTCGACAACATTGAGCTATTATCATCCTCAGTTATCTCATAACATGATAAACTTTCACACGTGTTCCTCATGTAGCGCGATTACCGAGATTAGATTCGTATCTTCGCTTTAAAGAATACTCTAAAACGACAAGAAGCGAATGATTTGAATGAATAACGACACATAATTTATAATTTATCGTAGATACTGTTGTTAGAAAATCTAACGCCTCAAGGTTTCGTGATGGCCAAGTCAAAAATTATGGATTATCCGCATCTCAGCTTGGCGATGCGATGCTTAGGTGAATTTCACGCGTACAGCTTCATTACGCGTGCCGCAAATCCAGCGAGTTTCGAGAAATTACAGCGGATAGAGGAACCCTTGTTTAACGAACAATCAGATAGGAATGAAAACGATGAGAGTATGATGAAAACGGTCATCGAAACCATATTCAAGGTATTTCGCGTTCTTAAAAATCATCGATATACATCGAATTTAAAGCGGCTTTTCCTTATCTTTTTGTACAGATTTTAGCAAACGAAGACAAACATTATTCCGAAAGGTATCAACAGTTCTTAGAAAATATGCAGCAATGCATGATAGATGCAACCGATGGAAAAGCCGCTGAACCCTATGCCGTTGTGAACCATGGTGACTATTGGACTAACAACATGCTCTTCAAATACGACAAAGTATGTATAGATACATACAATTAGATACCTCCTCGATGAATATTTATACGCCGTGGCTATTCTTAAGAGTCGCGTTAAGTTAATATATACATAAGTAAATATACTTTCACACATCTTATACGGCATCGTTTCAGGAGGGAAATCCGTGCGACTTGCGTTTCTTAGATCTACAGATATGTCGTTACGCATCTCCCGTTTTAGATTTAGTTTATTTACTCTTCTGCTGCTGCACGCAAGAAACAAGGAGAAAACATTTTGATCAGGTAATACACGAATATTACGAAACACTATCCAAGTGTATCGAAAAAGCCGGTTATGATCCCAATATCCTCTTCCCTTACGAAGTATTGTCCCAACATTTTACCAAATTCGGAAAATTCGCGGCGATGATGGCTACTTTCGTTTTACATATATTTACCAGTAATGATGTAGAAATGAATAGTACATATTTGAATGATATACTCAGAGAAAGAGGAGAAAATGACAGTTTTTATAGAAGTATGGTAATAGGTACTTTTAAAGATCTCGTCGACAGAAATTATATATAAATTAATACTTTCATAATAATATTGATATATCACGAATAGACAAGCCAAAGACAAAGGAAAAAGTTGTCTTGTAGTTAAAAGTAAAATGTTATGTCAAACTTTAGAAATCAGTATAGCTGTAGTGCGAGTACAAATCTTAATCGGGTTAAAGGAATTTTAATAGCAATGACTTATTTACATAAATATAACTTATAAAAATTGTAAAACTTGTGAAAATTGTGTGTGTGCGTGTGTAATGTAAAAAAACGTGCATTATTAGATTTTTTATAATGACCGAAATAATGAAATTTTTGCAAAGAAAAAATTATTTAGTATTTTTTCATAAATTTTATGAAGATTTTTCTTGATTTTCATTTTTCCTTGACATTTCTAGTATATTATTCAAAATTTGGATATAGATATTATGACTTTTAATAAACAAAAATTTATGTAAAAAATCGTTAGATTTATAAGAAAATACTAAATAATTTTCTCTTTGCAAAAATTATATTGTTATTTCGATCACTATAAAAAATCTGAATGCGCGATGCTTTTTTACAAAGTACAAAAAATGCAAAAATGTACAAAATAAAATTTCTGCTCTTAGTTGCGATAAATTTATTATCTATATATCATTGTTTAAATGCATTCTCTTTGATAAGTCAATTTTTATGAACAATTTGAGAAAAGGAAGACGAAAATTGTATAAGAGATATATTTTAAAATGAAATATACAATTTCAATATACAAAATAAAGGCAATCTACTACATTGTTCGGTAATAAAAAGAATACTAGTTTAGTGATAATATATTTTAGCTCTTAGTAATAAGGTCTTCTTGGATTATTCTGAAAAAGTAAACGTAATAATTAAAATAAGTCGCTGGACATTTCCTACTTAATAAATTTCGTTATTTTATTATTTTATTATTATAAACATCGTGATACTCACTAATGGATTAGGCCTAAATCTATAAGCAAGCATCATCCGTTTTCTATATGCATCAAATTCATCATCATCTCTAGATACTCCATCTGGTCTTTCAGAACCTAGACCGGCACTATCCAGTCTATTCGTCGCTCTAGAAATATTCATTAAGAGCTCGAAAATACTCGACAAACGATATTCAACACGAGAGAAATAATGATATTAAAAATAACACTTACTTATTAATTGGTTCAATACGACCGCTACCCTCGCTACCCAACCCTTGTCCTTCACTCCATCCAAGCTTTTGTAACATCTGAAATCCTGTAAGTAGAAAAGTGTTACGAAATTATTAAATTAAAATAATTTTAACAAAAAATAAAGAATTACTTTAATTTTATTAGCATTTAACTTGAAAGATTCAATTTAAGAATGAATATAGTAGTTTAAAATAAATAGAAAATAATCTTCAAATTTAGCCGCTTTATATTTATTATATAAATACATAAAATATTAATAAAGACTGAAAAATAAAAATAACATACCTATATTATCTTCCTTTAACTTAAATTCCTTGTAGTCGCTCAAATCGGGTTCTTTTCCTTGCTTTACGGCATTATACTGTTCCATAAATTTTTTTAATTCATCCGGTGGCAGAAAATCGCCAATATGATGTTTGCCTTCCGCTTGCGCAGTTAATTCCTCGGCCCACATCTGTGTCGCCTCCATTTCAGCAGATCTCAGTTTATGTTCCCAAGTTCCTCCGTCTGTCTCCTCATCGCTGTCATACTCGTATTTATGTTTCCCTTGCGCTTCCAAACGTTTCACTTCTTCTCTCTTTTTTAAGAGATTTTGGTACAAGAGATTTATCTGAAAAATATATATGTTTTTATGTATACAAAAATTGATCTTTAAACTTAATTCTTTTACATTTTCATTATACAATCAGATGGAGAGTGAATTTTTATATACTCAGCTGTGTGTACATTTTTTATTTTGGCAATTGAGGCAACAATAATCTACCTTATAATGATCCTCTGCCTTTTTCCATTGTTCTTCGCTTAAATCGAGTGTGCCAAACGTTTGTCTCGCATAATGAATAAGTGCAGGATCGTTCCGTGAAATCTTAGTAAGCATTGGATTCTTTGATTTAACTTGTCTCTTCGATGGAGATGGTAATATGACTGCAGGTTGTCCGATTTGTCCCGGTATAGCTATGCCAGGTTGCGGAAGTACAGCACCCGATCTATTACCGGAAGATACATTTGTTTCTGTAACGAGAACTTTATTGTCTGGATCACCCCAGCGACTACGTTTTCTTCTTTTCCGTTCTTCCTTGTTATCGTCCTTTAACTGATCTGTTAAAAATGACATATATAAAGCTTGTGTTAATCAAATTGGTGTAACAAAATTTGCGTTAAATATCATTGAATTCATGGAATTATATTCACCATACAGGGTTGAATGACATTTCTGAGATTTATCCGCTTCGTCATTGTCACTAAGAGCTTCTTCAGGACAATAAAGTTCTGCACCACTGTTCCTCTTATCCGGCTTCTCCGCACGTAATTTTGAAACCAACCCCCTGTACTGCAGATACGCTGCACTTTGCTTTTGGTGCAGAAACCTTGATTAAAATGATACTTAAAACGCTGTCGAGTAATATGTACTCCTATAGATACAGTACTTTCATAGAAAAAGTGTAACGTTAATAAAAAGTAGCAGAATAAAATTTAAAATTTTGTTTGTGGATTAAGGAAATTGGAGGCGTTGACATTACATATAGTATATGTCTGGCATTTCACGATATACACGACATATAAACATCAAAAACAAGAAATAGTGTGTTTAAAAGAATATATAATTATGCTTCAAAAGATATGATTATAAATTAAAAGTTTTGTAATAAAATGTTGAAATATAATAGATGTCTCCTTCTGTTTTTAACTAATATTAAAATTTACATCGTATAAAATATAAATCTTAGAATTATGTAAAATATTTCACATTAGTGATGCAGAATAAATGTCTAATAAATATAGATAAATATTTATTGAAGATACATAAATGTTTTATAAATATATATAAGTACATTGGCTATTATTTAAAACTTGAGTAAAATGTTTTTATTACTTGAACAATCATTATATCTTTGTTAAACAAACAAAATGATCAAAACTTCTTGAGAATTAAATGTATATTTAAAAGAATATAGCAAATTTAAAGTTTACAGCAAGTGTGTTGTGCATGTGGGTGCACAGAAAAATTCTATTAAAAAATAATTGCATATTTTGCCTCAAACTTTTTCACATATCATATCTTTTGTAACATTTTTATAATATTTTTCATACAAATTCATAATTTCTTTCATAAAGAAAATGTTATGTTAGTAAAAATAAAACATTAATGTCTACAAAAAAAACAAAATTTTTTCTATGCTAAGAATTATGGGTTGTCAAACATATATGATACGATTGTTGTGATTGCAAGAAAAAATATCTTCAATGTAAGAATACATTCATTACTAACAATTTTATCAAGCCTAAAAATAGCTTGCTTTACGAAAATATAAGAAACATATAGACAAATTTCTGTACTCAGCAAATCTTTTTGCGAATACAGTTATTGAAAAATGCAAGCGCATATTTGCAGCAATTCACATTAAGCAGACATTCAACAAAATTGTACATTTAATTTGTCATGTTACTAAGATATCAAGAACTATATGATAGATTTGTACAATGCCCTATAATACAAAATAAAATATTATCGTCCTAGATATTGTAAGAGTATTAATTATATTACAAACGAGGAATGTGGGGAAATGGAAATACAAAACGAGGACCAGTGAGGACAGTAGTTACCATAATTTAGGATCTTGGGCATTCTTCTCTCGCACTTCTTGTTCTATCTCATCCCCACAGTCAGCGACGATTCGTGCCAGCTGCTCAGCCTCTACTAAACACACTTAGAATCCTTTGTCAGATACTTTGTATAATAATGCCCTAAATATCTATTCACGTGTTCACATGTGTATATATGTATACACACTTTTTTTTTACTAATTTACAATAAAAAGTATACATTAATTCTATTTTATAAATTCTAGTATTACGTGTTATAACACGAATTATCTTCCTAATATCCCAATATCATTAAAATTGTGCAAAGGATAAGACAAAGTTCTTACAGATAACATTACGTGACACAAAAGAAACACATTTCGCAACTGTGATAGCGTACCTTGTTGTTCAGAACTTTGTAGATTAGCCGGCGGTCTCACGGGTGGAGGTATCTGTACGTTGGGAGGACCCACCGAGATAGGTACCTGATTGGAAAGGGGATAGCCGCTGGACATGAGGCCGCGCGACGGTGCCGCGTTAGGGATGACATTGGGCGGCGGGATGTTTGGCGGTGGGATATTCAGGTTTGGCGGTGGAACCGAATTGATCGTCGACGGGACGGTGTGCACTGGCGGAGGTGCTGACATTATCATGGATGTTATCACGTTTGGGGGTGGGACATTGGCTACGTTTGGTACAGTTACCACGATGGCTTGCGAGCCCGTGATAGGCATCATGGTCGGTGGCATTTGGGACATTGGTGGCAAAATGTTTGGCGGCGGTATGTTAGGCGGGGGAATATTCGGGGGCTGTAAATTGGCGTTGCACGCCGGCGGCGGCGGTGGCACGCTGCACTGTTGCGGATTTTGTATGATGTGCTGTTGCGCGCTCGACGGCGAGGACAAGCTGGGCATTGGCATGGCCTGAGACATTTGCATGTTCGGCGGCGGGACATTCGTATTCGGTGGAATGCTTTGAATGGGAGGAGGCGGTGGAGGACGTATGATATGCGGCGCGATTTGCATTCTCACATTATTAGAGTGCTCGTTCATGTTAGTGTAATTATTGCTAAAATTCTTCGACACCGGCGGTATCCTCTGCATGTGCGCGGACGGGATATTCGGCGTCAAGGGCCTTATGTTCGGAGGTGGTATATTCGTGATTTGCATCTGCACCGGTTGCGACATGAGGGACGGGATGGAAGAGACGTGGTTGTTATTCTGAATTGGGAATTGCTGGTTAAACTGCGCGCGCTGCTGTCCATTCTGACTATAGCCGTGCCGCATCTCTGGACTGGGTGGCGATCTTCGCCTGGTAGGCGACGGACTCGACGACGAGCTGTGTTTCCTATCTGAACTTCTTCCCCATCGTGTGTCGTTTCTCCTGCGGTCACGCCTACTGTCCCAATCTCTGCTCTTTTCATTACTCCGCTTTCTCTCCCTGTCTCTCTCTCTGACAGGCTCATAGTTTCTCTCGTCTTTCCTCTTATCTTCCTTGTCCTGTTCCTGTTTACCGGTCGCTTTATTGGCTATCTTTTTAAACTGATCGAGGAAACTGCCATCATTGGCAAATACATTCATTGTAGGCTTGTCATCATCTTCCCTACAGATAAACAATGGATTTTATACTTTTGACACTTCCGAGCGATCGATATAATTGTTACAGACGCGCAAATTTCGTGCGGAAGATCGAGCTGACACGAGATATCGTGACGCAGAGATTTATTTCACTTACTTTGGAGCAGTAGTCTTACTAGTTGCTGTGGTCGAGGCCGACGAATTTGACTTCTTCATACACTCCACGGCTTCTTTCGCTCTCTGCTCTTGCATCTTCGCTTGGATCTCCATCTTCTTCTGCTGGATGATCTGCTCCTGCTTTGACATCTGCGCGAAACGTTCATTTCGTGAGGTTTTCGACACAAACGGATCGGACCCCTTCACACCGCGATACGCCATTTTCGTCTCCTGCGCGGTTTATCCACTCAACTTTGCGGCGACTCTACGAGACGTTTTACGAGCGGGCGATTAGAAAGGGATCTTCGTATCTCGCGGTATTTTTTATCCCAGGATCGCGCGTCGATTAATACAAAAAAAAATTTACACCCGTGCAACGGCACAACGGAGTCATGTCTCATATTTCATCGAGTACATAATGTGTCGACGGTGTCGGCCATGTATATTTTTACTTGCGTAATGTCTGCCAACCGAAATCAAATTGAGACAAGTGCTTGGTTAGATGTCCCATTGCCAATTGTTGCCAATTATATTTATAACCATTTATATTTGGCGAGGCCTATCTATAGTAAATATGCACAGCCAATAAAAACGCGTGCACTGAGAAATGAACCAATCAATCGCGTCTTCATTAGAAACGCAACATATGACATTTAAAACGTGTCAGATCCGTCAGATTAATTAAATAGCACACAATTCATTGATCAAGTATTGAGAATATATTGAGCCAATGTTGCGCCCACGAATTATGGTACATAAATGATTACTGTAACTTCAATAATAAATTAATGGTTCAAAAACAAAAATAAGGATTTCTAAACATAACCTATTTAATTTTAATAACAATGAATGTTATTTTCATGTAACATATATTATTAAAATTAAATAGGTTACGTTTAGAAATCCTTAGTTTTTTGTTTTTGAAATGATTTATTAATTTTCATTGTTATTAAAATTAATAACAATGAAAATTAAAAAATTGTTCAATAAGAATTGTATGCTTATATTTTTTTCTAATATTGCACTTTATTTTTAAACATATAGACATACAAATAAAAATTCTATACAATACTCACGTTGTTATGATATACATAACATTACGTATATATATAACAACTATGTATATGTGTATAATATATATACACTGGTGTAGTAAATATCGACATATATATATGTATATATTGATATAGAAGGAATATAAGTTACATAAAAACGACATAATATAAAATAGTAAAAATCAGTACAGAGAGTCAGAAGTCTCGTTATTACAAGTGCGAGTCACTGCAGCCGATCTTTAGCCTCTTATAGCGACGAGAAAAAATTTATATTCATATAGAATTGTATATGTATGTATTTTTGGACTGAATTCTCTATATTTATCCGAACCGTTGCTAGCCGTTCCGCCACAGCACATGTCAAGCTGCTCGATAAATTTTCTTAAATACCGACAATATTTACTGATCGACGTCAGAGTGTTCTACAAAGCCTGTGTCACTTACAGCTACTAGAAGAGTCTATCGATCATTGTTTAACAGCGTTCAATATTACAGACCAAACACGTAAGCTTAAAAGCGATTTAGTCGCGTAAAATTGGCTATATAATAATCTCTGTTAAAAAACTCTGAATTACCGTAACTTCTCTCGCTATTCCGTGTATCGCAAAACGAGGGGGCGCCTCCCCGCGAGATTAGAGTTAATTCCGAAAGAAAAAGAAATTCCTTTTATATACTATTATAGCGTTATTGAGTGGCGTGTTTGCCGCCGCTTCCGGCGTTAGTCGTTCAAATTAATATATTACGCTTGGCTTTGAATTCAGTCTTAAAATTTCTCTACTGGGCAGTAGCGTCCCCTTCGTAAATACCTCAGTAAAATGAATGCTACCCCCATTCGCCAGTCTTTCCGTTCGTGTCCCTTTGGTGGAATTCGTCGGAGTGTGAACTTGATCAACGTGTTTTGTACAACATACAACTCTACCTCGCATCCCCGGTACCTTGCCTCTGAAATATCGGCTTATTACTTTATTATTTGCGCTACGAACTTTTACGTGCTTGCCGCCCGCGACGCGAACGGTAAAATTATCGATAATCGATTCGCAAACGCCTTATTGAAATACTTCATTGTTCTTGATAGCTTGTACGACTGGCGGCTTGGAATTGGCATGATTGTCCTGATAATGCTTCCATAGGCCAGTTACGTTGTTTACCTGCGCACCACATCCAGGCATTTTGCATCTAGACATTATAAATGCTCGAATTTTGGAAGAACTAAAGGCATACCTACAAAGCGTGTGTATATATACACATCAGTTTACTTACATGAAGAAGCTGACAGTGGACGCCTTTCCTTGCTTTACCTTTGGCATTTGCTTACCAGTATTGGAATTAATTGCATTCGTGACTAATTTATGACTGTCTTGATGATGGCGATAGTGAGATATGTATTTGTACTTCTTTCCGCAACCGTTAATGTCGCATTTATACGTTTCCTGTTTATACCTAGACATGCGTTGTTTCTTTGGGGTGTACTCCTCGTCGTCCGAACAATTGCTATTCGTTTCTATCGAGCCCTCTTCGACTTTCAAAGAACTCTCACGCTCGAGACCGCTCCGAAAGACACGCTCCATGTTTCCTAAATCTATTCTATGCTCCTGATTTCGTATATTTAAATTGCATATTTCTGTTTTCAAATTTTTCGTAATGGTCACGTCGCTATTTATATAAACCACATTATTCTTATCCTGCGTGCACTCCACTTGAAGGATCTCTTCGCACTTTGGTGTTCCAGCATCGTATTTCCGTAAGAAATTATCCTTAATTATAAGCAGATCTTCGCTGCTGGAAAACTTGTTGATACCATTCAAAGATTCATTATTCGAGTAGTCGTCGCTGTTTGTAACAGTAATCTTATTCTGCTCGTGACAAAACTCGTTCTTCACCTGAATTTTCGTTTCGTTTCTAATAGAACAATTTTCTTCCTTATTTCCGTACTCTTCCTTTATGGTAAAGTTTTCGCTTGGCAGTTTTTCATAACATCCCTCGTCAGTCTTTTGTATAACTTCGTCGTCTATTGCATTTTCGGAGCCCTCGAAACAAATTATCTCGGGCTCTATTGGCAGTGTAGGTGGTTGTCTATGACAACTCTCAATATGCTCCTCAAGATTACCGCTGGTAGATTGCAAAGATCCGCAATTGGTGTATGGGCAAACAAAGACGTTTGTTTCGTTATTGTGCCATTCCTGATAATGTCGCCACATGCTACCTGGATCTGACAATTCCTCTCCGCACCCTGGCTCGCGACAACTACAAAAAATTCACAAGATATTAGTAAAATCTCACGATGCATTCTAAACTTCATATTCCTAGTAAATATTCTATATTTCGTCAAAATCACATTAATCAATATGTATATTTTTCTTATTCGCTGACTGTACAGCGATATATAATGAATCAATTTTACTCACATAAATCGAATTTTTAAAGCCTCTAGTGCCTCATGCGTCTTATATTCATCTTGATTAGTGAACACCTTATTGCAACCTCGTTGTTTGCAAGTGTATACTTCCTATGTATTGAAAATTTATTTAAACATAATGAGACTATTTGAATGCGTAGTACAAATTAAAAACATTTCAATGTCAATGAATTCCCCAGTTGACTGAGATAATACAAATATTAAAAAACTATATAATAAAAAAACAGAATATATTGATATTTTCATTATTATTAACAAACATAAAAATAATTTCTAGGTGTGTCTAGCACAGAAGTCTGGATTCGAGGATTTTATTAAATTTGACATTTTTGATAAATTGTAATTTGAGAAAATGTCGCAAGCAAATTTGGATCAATTCAGATCTAGGCATTAGATAAAAAATATAGACAAAAAAAATGAGAGACATTTACATTTTTGCAACACATTAAGAAATTTCTTTTAAAAGACAAGTGCACAATTACTGACCGCTCGTTGAATTTACATCGAAATTAAGTGAATTCATTGAAACAAAAGTTTCATTTTCACTTTTTCCAGTGTATTCTACTATTTGTTTTGGCTTAGGGGTCATCGACCCTAGGCGACCAATGACTCTATTGTAAACCTCACCTTTTTCGGCGCGATTTCCTCAATGGTGCGATTCCGCGAGACAAATCTGATGACGCTGACCTCGGTGGGCCGGTCGGCGCACGTCTCCGTACCCTGGCCCATCCTGGTGGTGACTCGCCTGACAAGTCAACGGGGCGAGAGCAGGGGGACGAGCTCACTCCACTCGCTCGCTCCGCTCGCGGAACTCACATAACCTATATCCTCGTGTGACGACGAGTTTGACAGAAAAAATTTCGTCTTTGCTGAATAAAGCCTGCACGAAGTTCCGCGGTTTCTCGACGGGGTCGACGCTTGGGTCACGGCGCTCACCGGCCAAACGCGCCCTCGAGTACACACAGAAACGCGCCGTCGATTCCAGCTCACATTATCACTCTGTCAATAATAACAATTACTTGTGTTGTCAAGTCAGTGCAGCGGGCGGAATTGTCCGGCCGCGCAACGACGACGCCGGTCGATTTGGGACATTGAGAACCGCTGCATGACCTAATACAAACAGACTCGTAAAATATATTTCAGAGGACATAGGAGAACGTAAGCACAAAAAAATTGAATTAACAAGAATTTTTTTAATTTCCACGGATTGCGATACCGAACACGGAATTTAACATCACGAAAATGATAAATCTCGACAATCTTTTTCGTATAAGTTTTGGAACGTACAGGAACGTAGCAGTGGGAAATCTTGGTAGTTTTCGACTCTCTGCTAGAATATAATATTATAAACTATGAATTTCTTTTAATGAGTTGTAGAACGCAATACTGAAGACAAACCCTCTACCGGAATAATTGTAAACTACGAAATTGTTGAATAAATTTTTGAACATTGCTAAAGAGATCTCTTTCGGAATGTGTGTGAATTATGGATTCCTCATTTTTTCAAAAGAGATGGTATAAAATTTTAAATTTTACAGCTATTTAGATCCGTATGGAAAATAATTCGCATATTTATAATAATGATTCTGATGACTCAAATGTCAAAGTAATCGAAACTTATTATTAATAATAATTATACATATTGGACAATATAAAATTATTTCTTATATTACAGCTCTTCTTTTTGTATTTCATACAATTCACTTTGTATTTTAATTTATATTACAATATTTACAATTATAATATATTATTTTAAATCTATTATTTTATTATTAAAATTAAGTCTTGACAAGCAATAACTTATCAACCAGTCTTTATAATTATTACTAGGATAATTTACCTCTAAGAATTAATTTCTCTTATCCGTATCATGCGTTCTTTAGCTGCTTTAAATTGTTCAAGAACATTTTCAACATTGTTCATGAGCGTATCAGTGCTGACTTTGTCCGAGTCATCTCTCTGATAATTTTTCACGTGTGTTCCACTTTGATTTATTATATTCATGTAAATTTTAATATTCCCACTCGGTACGACTTTCAAGTTCGATTTGTCTAAAACCTTGCCCTCGTGGCTCATCGGAATGCTGCAATATGTTATATCCTCGAGCTCGTAAGAACCACCAACAAAGAACCGTCTCAATGTATCGATGATACTTCCTTTCGCGCGCCATGTAGGAACTGTGAATTTGTATCTACCAGGCGTCATTGGTATTGGCAGTGCTGCGTAACCCTCTATTCGATATCTATATTAAAACATAGAATTCAATATTCTGCGTATCATAATATTATTGACAAATAGAAAAAGTGTCAAAATGAACATATGAAATGCAATCTAACATTTTTTCAGCTGAATAAAAAATATAAAGATATCAATTTCGAGAGATGAAGCTTTCCGCGATTGTAATTACCTGGTCCAACTGTCCAGAGACGCCGCGGAGAATAGTAAACGAGGCCAAAATGACGATGCGCCGTCGTTTAATGACTGAAATTCATTTGACGGATAATGTAGGGATACGTCAGTACAGTAACTGAAATGTGCCGTTTTATTCTCTAAACGGCATTTCTGAGTTCTGCCGAACAATCTCTCTTTCTGCTTCGTACTCCACTGTTGCGGCAACTCGATAAAATAGGTAACAAATAATCCATCGTAAGAGAAACCATGAGCTGATGCAATGTCCAAGCTTATGAATAGTGTAGATAAATTCGGTGGCGGCAATTGTAACTCCTTGTACAACTCGGTTTCTTTATAAGCAAGCTGCTGTTGCACTTCCTGCAATGAGAAAGATATTTATTTAATTAATTATCAATTAATATTTCTTTAATCAATAATTTATTTAGCTTAATATCTTGAAGTTGCAAAATATATTCAACTTATATATATAGGTATTTGTCTGTCCCTTTTTCTCTCTCTCCACATTTGATTAATTAAAAAAATAAATTTCAGAAATTTTGTTTAAGAAATTATCGTGTATTAATCTCTTAATTGTATCCCTGCTTATCCAGTAGGAAAGCCAAGAGAGACCTTATTTGTAACAATAAAAGTTTGCGAGTTTAAGCGAATATCCAACGATTCAGCATATTTAAATTCAAGATGGGATTTTAAAGGAATTTTCGCATCTATGCATATGTCGCAACTATCTCTAATAGCGCGCGAAATAAAATTTACTAATCTCTCCGCCACTTTGGAGCGAAGTGCAATGATAAAGCGTAAGCTACTATACTGCCGTGGAATAGTGTGCATGCGAAAGCCGTTTCTATGTTCGCAGATATATGCTTGCCCCACTGTGCGCACGTATATAAACTGTATATATACACGTATAGGCTGATAGCGCGCTACATACAGCCTCATGTAGGAGAGCGTTCAAGAAGACAGTCGGTGAACCATAGGATTCAGTTGATCGTAGGAAGTGCAGCGGTCAACTGCGGCTCTCGGCGCGCGGCGGGCACGTGGTGCGCGCTTTCATAAAGGAAACACACAACGCGCGCTTACTCTGATTATCATTAATATATGCCGATTAGCGGGAGTTCGGCTGTCTCGCCGGCTGTTCCATCATGCCCGAAAGTATGACGAGGAAGTCGGTAGACCGCAACATCGTTGGGTGTGTCCTGAACGACCGGAAGAGCGAAAGAACATCGGTGAACTGACGATATTTTTCCGAAGATGCCGTAATTCGCGACACGAGTGTCGGGGACGCAGTTACTTAAGTGTACATAACGGGCACGGCGATCATCATGTTCTATCCGCAGCGAGCGATGCGTCAGATCTCGGAAATCTCCTACGTGGGGTACGTACGCAACCATTTCTCTTTCTTTCCTTCCTTTTTGCTGCCTTTTCGAAGCGACCGGCAAAAGTTTTTCGATAGCGCGCTCGCGCAAGCGAAATGCGAAACATACTTTCTGCAAATGTTCCTCCTGATACCGCGCGGATAACGATGTGGGCTCCTGGTCGCCTGGTATCGCGGCGGATTCGCTGCGTTTTTTCGCCGACAGACAGCGATCGAACGTAGAAGCGAGTGGATAAACGTGTACATTAAATTGCTTCATCGCGCCTGTGTCCAATTTGATAAACATCCGATAAAACGGCGTCGGCCGGTCCACTCCACGTGCCGCGTCATGTTTGCCCGTACTTGACCGGACATTAGCGCATAATCGAGAACTGTTTCTACAAGGAGTAAAAACAACTACTTATTGTTAAGACTTTCGAAGCGAAGCAAATTACATTATTAATGTAATGTAGTATAAATTATTAATATAATAATAAAACGGAGATAAATAATTGTTTGTTTAACATTACGCAATCGATCTAACATAATTGCAGTATAAGAGAAATCTCAGTATCTCTTATAAATTTATGCAATTTAAATTAATATTATTTATTGATCGTCGTAATATAATATTATATTGTCGCGATAATCCGACAATTCTGAATAATGTACAATTTTCTTCCCGAAATTGTACTTAAAAATTTAATCATAATAAAATGCTTCTGCAAGATTTTTAACTATGTTAAACATTGCGAAAATAATTCTCGACAGCAACAACGTCGTTGTTGCAAAATACCGTAATTATTTGCACACACATGTCTCCTATTACAGTTCATTTTTCGCAAAGTAATGATGACTAACATCATGTTACATCTAAAATTGATACAGAAATTTCGTTGTGAGCAATATTATTCTCAAAATAGCATATCTCATATTTTCGATCCTCGACTATTAATATAACTATATATTACTATGATCTGAAGCTTGAGAATCTGATACCAATAAATGAATTTAAATTTAATTTAAACAAAATTAAAAAAGTTAATTTTGTGCCTTACTGTTCGCTAATTGTAAATATATTTTTAAAATTATTATGATAGCATATTTTGACATTAATTATTAAGTAACTAATTATTACTCATTAATAAATTATATGAATAGTATTACGTTGTAGAAAAGTCGGAAGGAAAGAGAAACGAATGAGTCAGAACGGACAGAGTTATCGGATATTAATGTAATTGCGTTGCGCGGGGCAAATAAACGGACGTCGCTCGGGAATGCCGAGATTGGTCTTTCCACGAAAAGACCGTCTTTTTGATCGGTGCGCGCGCGCGGTGACGCGAAAGTTTGGTATGCCGTGATCGGTACGCGTCGTAAATAGCCGCATACTTACACGCCGCGCGTCCTCGCGGTGCTCTTGCAATTCCAGCGGTGTTCGCTCCTCGGAAACGTGCTCGATCCGATAATTGAATCTGACGCCGTAGCCGTTGGTGACGTTGTAATGCTGCGCGTCCGTCGTGAAATCGGGGCTAATCGTCAGCAGTTTCCGCGCTTTGTCGTATATCACCGTGCAGAGCTGCGCCTCCGAATCCGTCGACCCGACGGTCGCGGGCTCATCTCTGCGCGACAGATCGGCCATCACGTGCATGGCGGTACGTTCCGTGTAGAGATAATGATTTGATCGGATCTTAATATCCGTGGTCCTGTCATCCACCACGTTCTTGTTATACCGCTCCTGGAAAGACTTGCGATTCCGCATGACCGGCAACGCGGTCTGATTCTTCACGGACAAGTACGATCTGCACAAGCGAGAATAAAAATATTTAGAATTTTTGAAAATTAACGAGAGACAAGAAGAAATCAAAACCCGCGTTCTCTAATGTTTTCTAATTTGAATATGTAATAAACTTAAAAGATCTTGGCCTTTTTTGATGACCTATATACCTATATTTTTTTATTTTAGAAAAGTGAAAGTTCAAATTATAATTATTTATTATCCTTCATACCTATCTCGTTTCTAATTCTTTAAATAACGAATTAAAAAATATATTGGTATATTTCTTTAAAATAAGTACTGTGCTAAAAATTTTGTCGAAACTCTACGCGATCAAATGACAAGCAGCTAATATCTAATTAACAATTAAATTCGATCCCTGCCTGTAAGGCGCTGTCAGGAGGTCGTCATCGGCGTAGTAGGAGTCATTTTCCGTGTACGAATACAAGCGTGCACCCTGCAGCTGCTCGTCGCGTATACGCCGGTGGTACTCTCGCTGACACTCGGTCAGGCAATTCTTCTCGTCCGCATAGAAATCGATCTCGAACGGGGCGAACACCTTGTCCTGCCAGCTAAAAATACGCTCCTCCTCCTCCAAGAAGTTGGAATCTCTGGTCTCGCCGCCCTCGGACTCCTCGGCCAGCAACTCGGCCAGCGGGGACCTTTCCTGCACGACTCGCACTCTGAAACAACAAATGAATCGCCGAAATGAAATCTGGTGTAATTCCGAAAAGGTGATTCGCACGACCAGATGCCCCCGGTATTCACTCCCCGATTCTCCGGGAACGTTATAGGCCGAGAAATTCCAATCGCTATTTTGCCAACACGCCGATGATTACGAATTAATTATGAGAGAATCGAGTTAAAAGCCGGTAAATAGCTTTACGTAATTCTTACGTGAGGAACTTTGAAAATTTTCTCAAGTGCTACAGAGAAGATAAATGTACGCGAATAGAAAGATATGTATCTCGTGTGTATCTTGTTAAAGAATATTTGTATGTAAATTGTTGAGGATAATATTTTTCAACCTTTAATTTCTCATGTATTTTTCATTGAATTTTTTACGCTCCAGTAAATGGAATGTATCCTCGATAATGTAGTGCGTCTTCCAGCAAGGAAACAGTGTAACACAGTGAATCATTACAGCCTTGTCATTTGCCGACGTTAAACGAGGATAAAACGAGATTCACTGTGCTGCACTGTGTCCTTGCTGGAACACGCACGTAATTTTCTGCGAGTTTGAAATTGACCGTCGTTTACTACGAGGACAATATCGTTAAAACTTGAGAATAGAAACTTCTCTAATATCCTTTCGGGAAATAACGAGTCAATTTGCGAAAAACACGAGAATCGCATTATCTCGAAATAAAAGATGTAATCACTGACGTAAATGTCAGTGGTGATACATGAAGAAAAGGTGGCCGGCGGTACATAGGCGGGCTAGTTATATAACGTCTCGACATCGGAGAGGTTTATATTATCGCATCAAACACAAGTACGCTCTCTCTCTCTCTCTCTCTCTCTCCTTTATTTTTAACCGTCGGGTTTTTGAGTAATCTTCACAGAGTTGGGAATGCGGAATTTTCTGTAATGTAAAGATTAATTCAATGTTGACTAAATGAAGATAATTATAGTTCCTTTTTTATCTTTGTATGTATAAAGAGATTTATGTTAATCGGTTTTTATAAGATTTAATAAGAATGTAAAATTTCATAATCTTTCATATGTCATAATCATATAACATGTTGTAAATGAGGCACGTACAATAAGAGCTGGTTCTTACAATCGATTACATAAACCTATTCTCGGATGCAGGCCTAATGGATCCATATGATAAACAGGGAATCAATATATCATTGCCGCTTCTAGCCTTCGAAAATCTCCCGCTGATTAAGCGCGCTGTCAGATATGATATTCGTATTGCAGAAAATTCTGCAAGTACAATTGCAGTTTTATTTTTAATATTACGTTCATTTTCAAATTTTCTCAGTATAATACATTTTTTTAATTAAAGACTCTAATTAAAGTTTTAATTTAATCAATTAAAGTTAGATATATATTAATGTACACATATACATATGAATTTTTCTCGTATAATCGAATTCGCCTCGGTTAATAAATGAAAAAGTGTTATGCATAAATCTTTTTATTTTAGAAAAGTGGAAGTTCGAATTATAATTTGCATTATGCCTATCTCGTTTTTAATTCTTCAAATAACAAAATAAAAAAAATATTAGTGTTTTACTTTAAAATAAATGTTGTGATAAAAATTTTGTCGGAACTCTACGCGATCGAATAACAAGCATTACTGTTTCAATTTTTGTACGTTATGCATTTAAATACAAAAGACACACACACACACCTTATCCTCAGATTACGTATCGGTTCGTTCACTCTGTAGCTCGCCGCTATCCTCATTCTCTCTTTCTCGCGCGCCATCCTCAAGTCAATTTGATTATTGTTACAAAACAGAAATTGGAAACTGCGGAACGCTGAATAAGCTACGGCGGCTCTGTCAATGATCTCGGATCACCTCGGGTGGCTCGTTTGTTGATTCGTAACGTCGCTAGGCAACCTCGCCGGCTGGCATGGGGCACGTAGAGCATCGTCATCGCGAATTTCGAGGCGCGTAGTCTGCGCTGCCTGCCTGCCGCCGCGGGAAAGAAGAAAATATACTCGTTAGTTAACTTGGAAAAATTATCGATGAAAAAAAAATACATCTCCGTTTAGATTCGCATTTGCATGAACAATACACGTAATCGTGACAAGCATATTCTTTAGTCGCGCGCGGTGTAAAGAGACACTCGAATCTCTCTCTCTCTCTCGCTCTCTCTCTTTCTCAGCTATTTCTTTTAATAGCTTCATTAGCAAAGTTTCCAATGAGTCAGAACGGTCGACGATGCCATGCCGATGAATACTTCGGTAAACGATCGATGCTGCCATTGCTTCTCGCGATTAGACGTATTTCCCGACCGGGCGTTCTCCGTACAAACAAGCGGCGTAACAACCTCGACCACCTGGACGTGCGTCGCATCGTAAAAATCTTGAATTGTCTACATACAATCCCAGTATCTACAAAAAAAGACAAGCAGTTCGAATAGAGAACAGAATTTCTCTCTTTCTCTTTTTCTAATCCGGCGCATTGTTTACGCGTCTCATATATGTATAGCATAATGTATCAATATATGTACAACTAAAAAAATATGCGGAGCGATTCGATTGAGAAAAGAAGCTACCCGACTATATTATTTATCAGTTTATCCTGTTCGATTGAGAGAAAGAAAAAAAAGGAAGGATACAATCAAAAGGGGCAGCTCTGTTGAGAAAAAGAGAAAGCCATCCAGAGGAGGAATCGAGTCCTGAATTTTGGGACGATTGTCCACGTCCGTTCCTCGATCGGGGGATCCGCGAAAGAAACGAAAATGTAGGCCGATTAACCTCGCGGTACACCTTCCGGCGACCGTCCAGTTTTCACGTATTCGCCGGTCCCGAGTATCCCCGCGGCCGTCGCCGCGCCTCGGCGCGCAAGAAGACGCGGTCGTTCGGCAGAAACGCGGTACCGTTAACTCTCGGCTCGTTGATCGCTCGTTCGCTCTCGAATCGAGACACCTGCCTACTTGCTTACCTGCCTTTGAGAGATCGAGCGCGGAAAAGTCGATCCCTCCCGGGGAGGAAGGGAGAGAAAGAGAGAGAGAGAGAGATAGCGAAGCGGTAAAGGTCAGTGGCGCGTCGAGGTGTTTCCCGGGCGCCGTGATCTCGGTAAGCCAAGAGTTCTCGTGCTTTTTCCCCCTCCGTCTCGCTCGGTCGACAACATTCGCAGCTTGCTCCGAACCTTGAAGGTTAGGGTATGTACTACACGTTAGACACGCTGTGGGTATGTATGTAAAATGGTACATATGTGTGCACGTAGAATTTGGCGATAGCGCGCGCATCGTGGCGATGCGATGGGATTGATGGGACGCGTCGGCGTCGCGCGCGTGGTCGTTGAATGGCCAACAGGTGAAACGAACGGGGCGGCGGTGGCGGCGGCGGCGGCGGTGGCGGCATGCTCCGCGACATCTGTGACGTCATTGACAGGACGCCGCGCGCGGTGCGTGGCCGTGGCGGTGCGTCTCTCTAATCTCTGAGTATCGACTTCTCGCGATCGCGCGGTATCTGCGAGAGAGATAAGGGAAAAATGTGTCATCGCTCGGATGTGTTATCGGGGTCCGAGTGAGAGGGTCGCTCGATACGCAAGATTCTAATGCCACGAGTGGTGCGTCGTGCAGGTGCGTGTGGGTGGTCGTGCTCGCGTGGCCTGTCCCTCCTTGTGCGAACAGAGTAGCCCCTGGATATATCTGTCAGACGGGGCGAGTCACGCTTTCTCCTCGCGCACATTGACGTGTCTTCCCTGTGTCCTTTCCGATTCGTTCAGGTAAAACGTGTTTCTTGCGTTCGCTCTATTTATATACGATCGTCGTCGCGTTGGCGTCCGCCGCCTCGCGATACGATCTTCCAGGTGCGACGAGCCCGGGATTCTGCCTCCACGATAGTTTCTCCCCCACATAAGTCTCTTATCGTTAGTAAGTAGACACTCGATGCGCAGAAGGCGTAATTCAGAGAGACAGAAATCTGGAAGAGTGAGAGTGCTCTGTTATGCCATTCTATAGCTTTAAAATTCGCAAACATGTTGATCACTGAAGCTTAGTAAGATACAGCTCTAGTAAGACATAGAGTGTCGTGTATCTGACGTTTATCTGATATTTACTCTTTGCAGAGGTTTCAAATTGATAAGGATGTCGACTAATCGAGAGGGCGAGACTGCAGTGACCATCCCACTGCAGTACAATGAAGCTGTAAGTGATGTTTTCATGTTTATTATTGAAGAAATTGGTGGTATAGATGCATTTATTTTGTTAATGATTTCAGGCATTTTTTTCAAAAGACAAGATTTTTTAGAATATAAAATTCTTATTTTGTTTAATTATATATTAACATAAAAAATGATGTAATTTTTATAAATATTAAAATATGCATATCATGTTTTTTTTTCTTTTTTGTTACTCTTCTGTGATTACTTAATTTTCATTTGCAAGTCTAGTTTCTCTTACAAATGAATCATACACATAAGCTTAAATTCATGTATGATTCATTTGTAAGAGAAACTAGACTTGTGGTATAGAAGTAATATTCTAAATACAATATACTTTTTCTTACAAAAGAAAAAGTATATTGTATTTAGAATATTACTTCTATACCACTATACATTATTGCCGACAACATTTAGTCAGCCTTATCTTACTGAAAGTATCACGTTTGCTAAACAAATTTTGCATCTATGTCAAATTAATGATATATTGTTTATTTTACAGCATTGGAAAGCTATTTTTGAGAAGTACGATCTTGACGGGGATGGAAAAATATCGTTACAAGAGCTGAAGGCAATGATACGCGGCCCAGAGTTCTCTAAGGACATCCCTGCTGGGGTAGTCCGCACGATAATGCGCAAGGCGGATCTGGATGAATCCGGTTACTTGGAATATCCAGAATTCATAGCAATGGTTAGTCCGAGTCTCTCGGTTCCTTAAGGATGCTAGAAATCATACTTGTTTTTTTCCCTTCTATATTTTATGTTAGTAAAACATGTTGAGGACATGTTCTCCCTGAGCTTATCGATAGCTCACGTGAAACTTTTTCTTCCATTCATAGATCCATAGAAAGGACATGCAAGGTATATTCGGACACCTCGTGCAACGATACGTGCACTGTATGATACCTCAACGACCAACCCGCGCGCTAAGACAAACTTCCGTGGGCTCGAGGTATTATCCCCAGCGACAATTCAGTATAGTATTGCAAGCCGCACCACCTTCTCCTCCTCCTTCGAGCTTTGGCGATTCTCCCCAGGCTGCTATGATTAGTAAAAGATGCCGTTCTGCACGTTTTATCGGCCTACAGCAACAACAAAGTACAATAACGGAATCTTCTCTGTACTCTAGCGACTATCCGGATGGGCTGTACGAAGAAGAGTACAGCTGTCGGCCGCCGGCTGTAGCAATGATAATCATATCGATAGTAGAAATCATTTTGTTCATGTATGATGTGATTAAGCACAAATCTCTTTCTGTAGAAGGACCAGCGGCTACGTTATTTATTTATAATCCGCACAAGAGGTACCAAGCCTGGCGGTATCTAACATACATGTTTGTACACGTCGGGTATGTATAACAGCTCCCCTTTTCTCAGCTTGCCGTAAGATGTATCGAGAATTCTAAGAGCACCTTTTAACGTTCATAATTCCCTTTTGTATTCGACAGGGTCTTCCATTTGGTCGTTAATCTATTGGTACAAATTATGTTGGGTATCCCACTGGAGATGGTTCACAAGTGGTGGAGAGTACTGATAATATACATAGCCGGAGTACTGGCCGGCTCCCTCGGTACATCCGTTTCAGATCCGACAGTTTACCTGGCTGGTGCGTCAGGCGGTGTGTACGCGTTAATCACCGCTCACGTAGCGACCATTATAATGAACTGGTCGCAAATGGAATTTGCCGTGCTACAGCTGTTAGTGTTCCTCGTTATCACAAGCGTCGACGTTGGTCAAGCCGTGTACAATCGTTATGTGCTCGACGCCAACGACCAAATCGGATACGTGGCCCATTTGGCCGGTGCTATAGCGGGTCTGCTGGTGGGCATAAATATCCTTCGAAATCTCGAGGTACAAACTTGGGAGAAAGTTATATGGTGGGCCAGCATAGTCACTTTTACGGGTCTCATGACCGCAGCTATTTTATGGAATATATTGTATTCTTCGTATTACGAATGATAATATTCGAATCGGTATTTTTCTTGTTTGAATTATTTAACGACACATACGTACACATTGAGATAGAGACAAATGTATTATTACTAAATGTATTATAAAGAAAAACAAAATTGTAGGTATATGCATAAACTTATGCTATATATTTTTATATGTCAGCTACATTAGCTATATATATGAAATATATTTTCTATACAATAACTTGCCTTGAAATTGTAAGTATATGCATAAATTTGCTATATATTTTTATATATGGCTAATATGAATATATCAGTTACATATAAAATATATATATTTTCTATATTATTTTATTAATATAAAATAATAGAGATTTTTAGAATCGAGCAAAATAGCTTGTATTTTCGTATAGATTTTATCGCGAAAAGATAAAACTAGGATTTGTAATAATACATTAAAGTAATTTTTAACGCATTATTTTTTTAAGTACACGTTTTCGAGAGCAAATAGTAGAACAACAGATTCTGTGATACTTTTGCTACATGTATTAAGTGTGTGTATTATTTGCAAGTTTGACAAATGAATGATGACATCGAAGTTGACATGCGCAAAATATTAATATTTCTATTTTAGAACTATTGCCTCATTGTTTAAAAATGCATAGAAAAACTACCTCCATCCGTATGCAAACAACAATCTATTACACACATAAAAAATGCAATTAATCTTTCAGTAATACTTCATGCATTATACAATCTGTCTTCAGTCATTTGAATGTCGTACATAATCTAAGATCTAAAAAAACAAAGTACTGCATTGTTAATAAAATTCATATATATTTAGCTTTTTCATCAAATTTGAAAATGTCTTGATTATGATTAATTAAAATAGAACACAAAATTTGCCCTTTCAGACGTTTGTTGAATGAAAAAAAATGTATATAATTCATAACTTGTATGTGTTCTACAATTCAAAGATGCGAATACAAAACTTCGACAAAATAAGCGTTCAATAAAATAAGTAGTTTCTTATTTCATGAGAACAATGCAATAATTATATTCATATGCATATCATATGTAAATTGTTACTTGTATTATTACACAGACTCACACAGATACAAAATAGTACGGTAATACTTTTGAAAGATTTATTTATTTTAAATTGATAAATAATATACCTGAGCACACATGATTTATTTCATGTACCTGATTTGCACAGATTTATTATATTTTATATTAACCATTTATGTGAAAAGAAAAACAAGAGACAGCTTTATACAACTTGTGTTCACAAAAAACATTGATAATAGGATATTATTCTATTTGAACACAAAGCATATATCTGTGGACAATCTGTGGAACAAAGGATGATTCATTCTGGAAGACGTTAATTATATTAATCTTTAATTGAATGCAATAGATATTGTAATGCCAACTATATATCGATATTATAATAACTCCAATTTAGACAGTAAGAGAAGATGGGATAATGTGGTTCACAATCAGTCGCTAGATCTTGTTAACAAATATTGTTAAAAGGATCTAGCAACTGGCCATTTTATCCCGCATGTGGTCCGTCTTATTCCTCCCTCCTTGTTCTTCCAATGCCTATAGAGTTTTATAAATGTTCGAATACTTCGAAGAATTTTTTTAAATTTGCAAAGTGTGAAAAGTAAGGCTGCTATTATGAGTCTAGAATGTTCAAATGTGAAAGGATGAATTATAATTAAATAATTTATAATATAATTATAAATGTTATTTACATATACGTACATATTTACACAATTTACATTATTAATAATAATTACGCAGAATGACTTAATTGTATGTCAATATTTCAGGTTGATCTAGAATTCAAAACAAAAAAAAGTAATGAACATATACTTTTGACTAATGTTGTCAAGGTAATTGGAAGATACAAACAATATCATTTATCATTAATATTCCGTTAAAATATAATTTAACTTACCTGATTTTTTTTTAATTGTACCCTTTTTTTAAGCGTCGTAGATATTACTTATTATACTCGATTACAATGTTGATGACAGAATCCCCACGAATAAATTGATTCTATAAAATAGACATAGTCTTATAATTATAGTCTAAATAATAGCGATGTGTAAAATCTATATCTACTTCTCATCTACTAATGTGTATGTTTTCCTACATACATAAGTGCCTTGGACGTATTCCTCATTGTACAATATTTTAATGTATAGGAATAATGGATATGAGTTTTGACCGCGAGAGGAGATGAGCGTGCCTTGTTTGTATGCAAGATAAATATAGATTTATGTAATATTTTATAATTGAATTTCAATAAAAACCTTTGTTACTATTCGACAGAGCGACGAGAATGTCTGTAACGTGTGTATATTTTGTATGCGCTTTGTATAAAATAAAATAAAATGATTAAAAAAGAAATCAATCCGATGATTATATCATCTTATATTAGTGGAGTGCATCGTAGGATATGTAGTATCGCAACTTGTTTCTTAATTGAATGTTTCTGCAACGAACGTTCCCAACTAGGCCCACGTAATCATCGACAAAAAAAAACGTTAAATTCTCATTTGAATTTATTTCTCGCTCACCTTGTGTTTAGCATTTTTTTTAATTTTTTTTTTAAGTAAAATATATATTCTCGTTCGAGAGGAACGATGCGGAGCGAAATCAAAAGGCGAAAAGGCGAGGAGATGCTCCTTATTATAACGGAGGTGATTTTTATTTCAACAAAAATAACAATTTACATTGAACTGTTTTGATAATATTATCGTGTATGCTACATCTGTAGTTTTTACTGTAGGCGTGGTATGCTCTCGCTCGCTATAATTAATTTTCAGTTACTTTGTTTTGTAATTAGTCGCATTAACAGAGCGTGTGTTTTTTCGTGGATAATAATCACGTTTCGTAGATACCGAGTTTTTTTCGCTTCTTTTCTCATCATCTTTCTCCCTTCTTTACTCTTTTTATCTTAGCTTGACAATTCTGCGATCGCGCCGTATGCATTTTATCATTATTATTTTTTTGTTAATATTAATATTATATTATTATGATACAACAATCGGGAGGGAGCTGTGTGTACCTCGGCGTTATCATATCACTATGTACAGGCTTGTCGTCTTCCACGTACGTCGTAGGGATCGAACGATTAGACACACCGAACAAATTAGTCAATCATATCTTTTCCTCGACGTGTTACAAATGAATCTAGGTACATATACACGCGACGTTCGCGCTTTCACGTCGCCTAAATCTCTAATCTAGATGATACTCGTACGGTGGCTGCAGCGATTAAGCTCGCCTCGCTTTTTCTTTGCTGCGAAAAACGCATCTCTCTCTCTCTTTCTCTCTCGCATTCCCGAGGAAGAGATACCGTCGATGTTCCACTCTCTTTCTTCACCTCTTACATCCTATTGTGTTACAGTACTGTATCGTACCTGAGATTGCTTACGCACAGACGATTTCCCTCGAAGAATCGAATGCAATTGAAGACTTCACGAAAATAGCAAATCGAATCATTTTTCTTTTTTCAAACGCTTGCCGAAGGAAACTGAGTTTCCTGGATTTTGATTTACGATGTCAAACATCAATGATCATATGATTACATTATACTCGATTATATTACAAAAAATAATTCAGTTACAGTATATATATATAAAAAAATTACAGCTATATATAATATAGCTAAATATACATAACATTAAGAAACGCGAATGGTTTCAAATAACAAATAAATATATAATAATCCTTTTACGAGATAAAAAGGTAATGAATTTTTCATTGTTGTAGAAATTTTTTCAAGCGTTTGAAAAAAAAAGAAACAGATTACATCATTGTCATACACTAAATCGTTCGAATTTCTCCTCTCGGAGAGGGGATAACAGTTCGTTGAGAAACGCGAAAATCGCCTGCGAATAATCGACCCGTACGAAAGACCCGACACCCTAAAGATCTCTCAACGTACCAACGAAAAGGGGGTTCGTGTATATCCGCTACATGTCACAACATTATATGTACACGCCGATTTTCCTCTCTCCAACAGAGCGGGGGTTTAATTCACACTATCCTCTGTATGTGTGTATGTGTGTGTGTATTTGTATGTGTGTACGTTTTTTACGCTTTATATGTACACGCAGACCCGTCTCTTACACACGCGTGTGCTCAAAGTTGCTCCTGAGGTCAAGGCGTACCTCGATCGCGCGAATGATCTCATCCAGAGTGGTGCGGTTCTCTCCAGCACTTGTGATTTATGAGTTTATTATAAACAAGTAACAGATGAATATATGTAAGAGATTACATGAATAACAAAGACACGTTGCGAAAAATGCGACAATAAAGGAGCGGCGTTCGAGACATTTAAAAGGCATATACCAGTTCCTGCGATATTCTATTTTTCTCTAGACATCCTCTTAGAACACGTAAATAAAAAACGTCCTTTCGACGTATTTTCTTCGTATCAGATTTGGACTTCGCACCACTCTCGCGCTTCATCGACGACGGGGGCGATCGCTAAACGCGGGCTCTGTGTGTCGCTCAGGTACTATACGAGGAGGAGAAACGTGACGCCGAGGACACTCTTCTAAGTATGAAGTACAAAGATCGAGTCACGGCTGTCGCGTCTATTGTATGTTCGTAATTAAACGTTTACGCCTCGGGCTAACTAGATTAATTCGCTTCAGTATGTATGTGTGTCTGTCATGTGTGCATATATCTATACCAACTATATATCTATCTTCACTTATATTTTGGAAGCATTCGACGGTTTTTTTCAGGACCTCAATAATTATGTTTTGTACAATGAAGAATTCTTGGTGCGCGCCTCAGTGATAGGGTGCAGGGTGTTCCGCGAGACTCGCCGATTCTCTTCGTCATTTAGGATCAAGAATCAAACTATACACTGTACAAAAAAAAAATCAATCGTTAAATTTCGACATTTAAATGCTCAGTATACAAGGTGTATCTTAAACCGAATTGAAAAATCCTGAATCATTTTTTTCTACAATCCACAAGGAAGCAATCACTATTGCAGTAATTATAGTTTCATTGAGCATTGTAAAAAAAGATTCAGAATTTTTTGACTCAGTTTTTTTTACAAAAAACAAATATATAATTAATGAATGTTATTTAAGATACCCTGTATAATTATAAGTATAAATATCATAATTAAATCTTCAATGCATATTATTATTTTCAAAACATAAAAATAATATTTTCTGTATAATTAGAATATAATATAATAATTCAGTGGTTTTTTTATGTAATATTTTTTTCTCAAGCGTACTTTTTATTTGTATAATTCAATTGTTTCATGCGAAAGGTAAAAAGAATCGACGAGTGACACATCACAAGCTGCCCTTGTCAGGACGCCTGTTATGGAAGGTGAGAATATAATAAAAAGAAAAAAAAAGGTAAGTTGAAAAAATAATACCTGTACCGAGGATACACTTGTTGTATCGAAGATGCGAAGAAGCGAAAATACAAATGAAACGAGGGCTAATCGTCTGATCGCTGGCGTGCGAATGGAGGCAGTCATCTTCATACAGTGAATCTCTGTAGTCTTGATATCTCAGTCGTCCGAAACGATACGGAATATATATATTATATATATATACACATATAATCGAGGCGCAATTCGGCAGAAGCGGTGACTCACGACGCAGTGATTGAAAAGAGTAACATCAATGATGTTTGAAGAATTTCGTCGGGTATCACGATGGCGAAGAAACAAGACGCAGATCGCAAAACAGTTGAAGCTACAAATATAAAATTAGGCATGTATAAAAAGTATGTATGTATACGTGTATGTGTCGTGTGTGTTGTGCGTTGTGTATGTGATAATCAGAACATACACATTCTCTCACTCGCTCGCTCGCTCGCTCGCTCGCTCGCTTTCTCTCTCTCTCTCTCTCTCTCAAATTTGTTTGAAACAAATAAAATAAATCTACATCCAATTTCGCTTCGCGAATGATAAATCCAATTTAATCGCCTGCATATTTGTTTTGCCATCGTTTATTAATAAGTAAAATCCGGGAAAAAAAATGCTTTTTTCCCCCCTAAAATCAGTTCGTGGCTGTTTAAATTCCTAAATGCTGGCTACGTCGATTTTATCACTAAACCTAAATTCCTTATACAATAGCGTGTACGGATTATCTAGCCATATTACTTGTTCAACTTAGAAACTAATATGTACTATGTACTATGTACAACACACTTTGTGTTACGATTTTTTTTCCTGTTTTTTTCAAACCCACCTCACCAAGATGAGAACGACCGTCGAAAGTTGATTTTCTCGTCGTCAGAATATCCCAATTAGCCATGCTTGAATTATCCACGCGTGCCAGAAATATGTTGTACGGCATTTTCTTCGCGCTTTCCTTCTCTCTCGCTCTCGTTTTCTCATCTTTAATTCGAACTACAGGCTATGCTTTGCACTGGTATGTAACACAGTTGAACCTATTAATCCCAGATACATCACAGACTCATTCCAAATAAAAACACGCACGCCCTCATTAGCGTTGTATATTATTACCGCTTAACGCGATTACATATATTTTTTTTTCATTTATGTACAAAAGAAGCGTCTGTATTGTGAACATGGGATATACATATATAGACCTAGATGTTTCACAGATCGAATGCTTGCGCGTATACCGACGTCTTTTTGCGGACTGATCAAGCCCAAGTCAACATAAAAAATAATAATAATTCACCTTGATCGAACGACGTAAGCGATCGAGCTTCGAGCACTCGGTATATTAGCACATACGAAATAGAATGGATATATATATCGAGTGTCGATATCCCGGACTTATTTTCTTTGCGAAATGAAATATGAGCGCTAACGTACACATACATTTGCGAGTATCGAAAAACCTAAAAAGTGAAAAATATGTATATGTATAGGCGAATACATGTTATTTAACGATTATGTAACGATTTCCTTTTAGAACTATCGCATTCATAAAATTTTCGCTAAACTAAAATCCGCACCTATACAATTAACTCGCGAGATTTAAAAAAGGATCCCATCAAAATCACGGCGGTCAAATGTAATCGGTTTTCACGTTGAAACGTGTACATATACATATATTTATACAGATAGCTTTAATGTCCATATCGGCATTATAAATTATACATCGTAAATAACTAATTATTAGATAAAACTATTCGTCACTATGTATGTAACTGAAAACCAGCGCAACACTGCGAGAAGGCAAATAAAATCGAATATTTGTTTCGTTAATTTACCTCTCTTTGCATGAACGCGGGAATGATCTTTGACTAAAAATACAATGAAATTACAAAGAGTTTGTAAAACAACTATAGGTGTGTGGGATTTTGTTTAAAACATCATACTTTTCTCCACTTACCTCGTCGGAGATCGCAAATTCTCATATTTATATATATCTACATATGCATATACATATATATATACATACATACATATATATGCGTATATATAAAAAGAAGAAGTCTCTTAAATTAGATTAGGATTTGGCGACCGACAAGAACGCAGTGTGGCTTCTGATTGCCCGTAAAGCGTCGATAAATCGTCCAATATAATCAATTTTCCATTGTTTCAAAATCGATGATCATCTGCGAGTATCTTAAAAAGACGTATGCCACAGCATCTTTCTGCATCCATAATAGCCGTGCATCGTCGCGCTAGAGTATGCCAGTTTAGCGTAAAAACAGTTACAGCGCTGAGCGGTTATAGAGGACTATCAATCCTCATCCGAGAGCGGCTCGTATTGCGAGGAGAGCAACGGGGCCGGCTCGGCCTGCATCTGTTCCGATTTCGTTACAGAGGCGGACGTGGCTGTGGTGGGTGGTGGGGCCGGCGGTGGTCCCGTGTGCACCCCTAGCGCACTAAATGGATAGAACGTGGTGGTAGCTGCGGGCGCAGGCGGCGACGGTGGTTGCTGTTGTTGTTGTTCACGAGTGCTTGGATTCGGTCCACCCGCATTGTCGACCACCATCTCATTGCTTCCGCTACTGCCGCCGCCGCCGCTGCCACTTCCGCTACCGCCGCCGCCGCCGCCGCCACCACTACTCGACAGGCTTCTCTCCACGCTTCTTTCCGCATTATTTCCTCCCTTTTCATCCTTCTCGGACACAACGACGGAATTACCACTCCCGTTTCTATCGGCACCCGCACCACCATCGCTGCCGCTGCCGCCGCCGCCGGCTTCGTCCTCAGTGCGCATACACTCGACGATCCTGTTCTTCACGTAATCGAGTGGCGATATCTGCGTCGAATGCGACTTGTTGGAGGGAGTTCCGGAAGTGGATGTGGCAGTGCTCGAATCGTACAAGCGACGTGCGTAATGATTGGTAGTTGCCTCCGGCGGTGAAACCGGCTCGACCGAATGATATTGCTGCTTTCCCGATGACTGATGCTGTTGTTGTTGTTGTTGTTGTTGCTGCGTGTGCTGTTGTTGCGCGACACGTATTATTTGACGCTCGTCCCCGGTCTTCACCGAGTCCGTCTCATTAAGTTTTCGTCTCTTCCACTGATCTTCGGAAATTTGATATCTATTGTTTACAAAATAAGAGAAAAAGATTCCCATTATTCACAACATATATTCGTTAACGTTGTAGTTAAGAAAAAAAATAACAAAACCTTTTCCTTTTTTTAGATCGATAATAATATCAATAAACTACTCTCAAACATTAAAAAATTATTGATTTCATTATTCGTAAAATATATTCAATAAATGAAAATAAAACCGAATAAAATAAAATTAAGGCTCCTGACTAATCACCGCGACTATATTAGAATCGTGACGCCATAAGCGAGAAATGACACGCTAAATTTTCTTGCGTACCATTTGTAAATAAAGAGAACTTGGATAAAATAACAATAATGGGATCGCTTTAAAACACTTGTAAAAATAAGCGGAAACTACCCTTTTCCTCCCTGACAGTTAGTAAATAGTCGTAAATAGCGCATGAAATGAAGCTTTTCAAGTAAAAAAACACGGTTTCACAATTGTTGAAAGGAGTGAAAAATATGCTTTTATATATAAAATTCAAAGATAACTTTACTTTCCATCCATTTTACGAATTTTTTGATAAGTATGAGACAAGTCACATTTTCACAATTAAGCACATAACGAAATGGTACACAAGATAAAATTTCGTTTGTACGGTAAGGTCCGCTTTACAATGCGTCATATATCGATATCGTAAGCCGTAAGCCATAAGTCGAATGTGAGGAGAATATTCTATAATTGGTCAATTCTTTTACGGCTTGTGAACACCAATATATGACGTATTGGCCTGTAAAACGGACCTTAGTACGATGGACAAGATTCCTATAATTCCTACCGCGATACATTGTTGCTACCATTAAACACGGAGTTCTTGACTAGTATTGAGTAGTCAGGAGCCTTAAGGGGATGCTGGAGACCAAACTAGGGTTGCCATCTGTCCTTTGTTTAAGGTGTCCGAGGTGTCGTCAGGGAGGATTTTCCGAAAGCGTCCGAGATAATTATGAGCATCCGGGATTTCAAAGAATTTTTTAAATATTTTCTTCGTCTCTCCGCGCTACCCTGTTTTATAACTCCTGCACTCCTGAACGCGGAAACACTTCTCACACGGCAAGACATGACGCGAAAGTCAATGGACGTATCGTTTTTTTTTTAGGCGCTGTAAGTTTGGCTACCGTGTACCGTTTTGCTGCGCGGTAAATCTTTTCACGTCCAGTGTACAAGAGTTATTAGTCCTAAGTCCTGACAATAGGTGTAGTAAGCCTGAGGGCTAGAAAGCAACTCATTTTTGTTAACAAAGTTACAGTTAGAGTTACTTCTTTTTCAATAACTGTAACCTAATTACATTACTTTTTTTCATCTATAATTATAAATTAACTTATATTTTTTTGGTAATCAGTAAATAATTTGATAGTTACTTTTACAGTTACTTTTTATATATTTCAAACTCATTTATCAATATAATGTGATTGGTTAAATTTGAATAATTGCGCTACTAGCTACATAGAAGGCAAAGGCTGCGTTCAAAAGAAAAAGCCGCTCAATAAGTCATCGGTGATTCTTTATTACGATTGATTGTATATTTAGATTCGGCAAAAAACTAAAGGCAAGAATCATTAAAAATCACTAAACGCTCACTGAATGGCTGTTTTCCGAACACAGTCACGTGTTCTCTATATGATTCTCACTGAACTTTAAATATATACATTATATATAATTCTAAAAGAAATATAATACAATATAATACAATCAATTTTCCTACTTTTTAAATAAAATTTTATAACATGTAAAGGTAAATCAGTCTTTTTCTCTGATAATCTTAATTTAGTATCAATGTTATCCATGTTGTTTTGTTATAATAACAGAAAAGTAACGATTTGTTACTTTTTGATCAACTATAACTGTAACATGTTACTTGTAACGATAACTAATTACTTTTTAAAAACAAAAATTGTAACTAGTTACTTTTACAAAGTAACTTTTCCGAATCTGGCCCAAGCACAGTCGAATGTGAGGAGAATAAATCGACTATGATTGTCAGTTTTTTTTACAATTTAAGGCTTACTACACACTATGCTACACTACCTATTAACGAACAATTAAACTATTATTCATTGACTATTTTGACTAATTTTTACTAATCTACATGCATTTTTGTATGCGTCCGAGGTTAGGTTACAAGCGAAATTTTCGGGGTTACAAGCGAAATGTCTGAGGTTATAAGCAAAATGTCCGAGGTTACAAATAAAATGTCCGGGCCTGTTTTTGGCCTGTAAGTTTCAGTTTTAAAAATTTTGATGTGGCAACCCTAGATCAAACTCCAAGGCGTCGCTTTTACTGATGATTTAATTTATGCACATAATACATGCGATATTGATGTAGCGTGTAATGTGTTAACATTTATTACTATATCCATATCGCATGCACATTTATACTCAAATCGTACTTTTCTATTTATTTGTTTTGCAAACTGCGAAATCATGTCTTCCAATATTCTTATGTATTATTCAAATGTAGATTGATACTTTTACTTTTAATCATTTATATCACGTGAAGAAATAGTAGGTAGTAAAACTATAATTGCTTTTTTGTTTTTTATATCGTTTTGTATCTCTCTACATTTATACCATACATTTATGCATTGTATTATCTCTCCATATTTATGTATTTTCCCTCATTTCCGAGAATTTTTTGTTATTCTACACAAGAAAAAAAAAAAGAAAAGTACGAATTGTGCATTTGGCCGGTATTACAGACTCCAGCATCCTCCTGAAGCAAAACTTATTGAGTTACGGAATTTTTTGCCACAAGCTAAAATAATGAGACGCTTGCTTTGCGCGAGGACTTAGGCTAGTGGCACATAAAGAAAACAGTAAGCAATAAGGCGTAAGCAATAAGCAGATCGGCCAATTACAGAAGAGACATTAACATAAGCAACAGCAAATCCAAAGTGTTGATTTGCTTACTGCTTACGTCTTATTATTTTATGTTTTTTTACAAGTCACTAGCCTTACCCAGTATAGGATCTATACGACGAATGAGGCGGGCCATAATCTTTAGAGACAATATGATCAACATGCTCGCCGAGAGTGATTGCTTTGTTGCCGCCACTTCCGTTGCCGCTTCCACCATTTCCACCGCCACTGCCTTCACCGGCGGGGCTGTGGGCTATGCCATTAGGTTCTTGCTGAATTTCTCGATGAAATCCCTACAAAAAGAGTTGGAGTCAATTTGTGGAATATAATGAGATTGCGACATGCAAGTAAAAAAAAAAACAAAGCGTTTTAAAATAAACCATATATCTTACAACAAATCCTACAAGGAAAAAAATAGAGATATGTTCGGATACCTGAAAAAGACGATCGCCAGCACGCGCTGGCTGATTGGCTGAGGATCCGCTTGCATTGGCATTATCAGTACGTGCTGGCTGATTGATTTGATGAGTGATGATAGCATCAATTAGACTGGCAGCTGTGAGAGTCGACGAGTCGTTTTGCTGACTGGAAGATTGACTCTGTCGCGATGATGATGATGAAGATGACGACGACTGCTGTTGCTGTTGTTGAGACTGTTGAGATTGCTGAAGCCTGATTGGGGAAGGTTGCGAGGAGAATCCGAGGCTCGCTAATCTCGACGAATCTCTGTCAATTTGTTGTTGATCTCTGTATAGTTGCGCCATGTGTCTTCTCTCGGCCTCCATGCGTTGCTGCTGAATATGCTGAATATGCTGTTGTTGCTGCTGCTGCTGTTGATGGAGATGCACCTGGAGATCCCGTTCGCGGTGTGCTTGCTGCATAGCCATACGACGTTCGTGTTCCTTCTCGTGTTGTTGAATGACGAGCCGCTCTTGCTGCTGCATCTCCTTCTCTCGTTGCTGTTGTACTACCAGTCGATGTTCATGCTCCTTCTCTCGTTGCGCCGCAGCTGCTACCATTTGTTGTATCTCCTTTTCCCGCTGTAGTCGATGCTCGTGTTGAATATCCTTCTCCCGGACTTGCTGCACAGATAAACGACTGTGCTCGACGTGCATGTCCTTCTCCCGCTGCTGCGCGAGACGGTGCTCCTGCTGAAGATCCTTTTCACGTTGCTGATGATGCTGTACCGCAAGACGGTGTTCCAAATGTTGCAATTCCTTTTCACGATGCAAACGATGTTCCTCCTTTTCCCGCAGATGAAGGTCTCTATCTCGATCGCGTTGATGCACCGCCACCGCCGCTAGTCTGTGTTCCGCAGCTTGCATCGCCATACGATGTTCCTGTAGCCGTATCTCTTGCTCGCGAAACGCGCGATTATTGTCATAACGGTCGGCCAACAAGCGATCCGCCATCGTTTTACCGAGTCCCTCGTGGCCGCTACTACCGGACGCAGCTGGATGGCCATGCGGATGTGGTACCGGAAGACTGGGTTGCTGTACTGCCACATCCACTAAACTGGAGAACGCCTCCAGGCCAGGTGGCGGTGGATAGTGCATTTGCTTCTGCGTATTGTGCCTCTGGATGACACCTTGCCGCGGCTGCGTATGCGTCTGCGATGGAGGAGGCGTACTGGTGTAATACAGGGTGGACGATGGTGGCGGTGGCGGCTCGCTTTTACCGGTTGTCTCAGCAACGACGGATGCACCGGCGCTACTGCTACCACGAGCACGCGCATGCATCTGCTGACTTGTGATGTAGTCGTTCATGATGATCTGCCGACTGGATAATTGTTGCTCCATCGAGTAACTTGGCGGTGGCCGTCCGGAGGCGGAATAAGAATTGTACTGGCTGCCGCCGTGACTGACTACCACGGCCGGCGACGGCGCCTGGCTTGTGGGACCCTGTCCCGGCGGTGGCGGTGGAACGTTGCCAGGCGAGTGTCGGATGGTGCGATGATAATCGTATATGGGCGTGCCGCGTTTGTCTACCGCGAACGGAAGCACCGGTGTACCCTGAGTGATCGATCCACCTGTATCTTTCGGTGTCCCTGGAACAGCGGAGCCGGTATTGATAACGCCGCCTCGTTCACTAGCGTTCGAAGCGGCACCGGTAACCGTTGGATTACCGGGCGGTGTCATTTGCCGCAACAGACCTTCGTAACGCGCCGTAGATACAGGAGTGCCATGCGTAATGGAACCACCTTTGTGACCCTGCGTGCCCATGCTGCTCAATTTTGGAGACAGCTTGGGATGAGGCGGTGGTACCCCGGTGATTTTGTTCAGCTTAGGTGTAATGGGTGCCTGCGGTCGCGGTGACGAAGCATAAATCAATGGACTCTTCGCGCCACGTCCTTGTTCGGGATGAGGTGCGTGAGGATGGTAATACGCGCCCGGCGGCGGTTCCGGTCGATAGAGCGTAACCGTCGGTGGCTTGTGAAGCTGCATTGAATGATTGTAATCCTGTTGTCTTGGTTTTTTGATACTCAAATCCAATGTCCCTTCCGTGCTTTCTCGGAGTGCTTGTTGCACTTGCATAACGACTAAACCTTCCTTAGGCAGCAGGTCCGACGATGAAGCTTGACTACTCGGCACAGTTGGTGGGCAAGGAGTAATAGTAGCCTGTATCTGGCCTAAAAGGAAAGGAAATATGTCGTCAATCTTCTAATCTTCGTAATGAATCGTGAATAGCACAAGACATTTAAATGAGTTAAAGAATAAGAACAGATTTCAAGTAAACGCGATAAAGTTATTACTTTAAAAATTTTCTATAAAAAATTTTTAATATATTATTAATAAACCTACCAATTGGTTGCGGACTGGGAGCAGAACGATGAGCATGATGAGGCCCCGAGACAACAGAGAGTGTTGCTAGATTTGAATCTCTATTAGACAACGTGGTATTGTTTGATGACGATTTGTAGCCACGAACGTATGTTATGTCGTTACGAGGATCTGTCTTCAAGATGCTAGATATCGTGGGAGTGCTAGAGCTATTGGGTGCTGATGAACTGCCACCGTCAGCTGGACTGTTGGAAGTGCGTTTTAATTGCATCTCGATGACTCCAAGCATAAGATCCTTGACAGTGAGCGGATTCGAATTACTCGTTGTTGAAGGTGGCGAGTGAACAATTGGTGGTGGCTGTGGATGCTGGCTCTGTTGTTGATTCTGTTGTTGCAACGATGTTGCGTTACTGATGGGGGTTGTCAGAGTTACCACGACACTGCCATTATCTAAGTCAGCACCTCCCTGACCTTCGTCCGCTGTCTCCTGAAACAATTAGCGCACCTCTATCAGACGGTCCTATCGCGCGAAAACATTGTTCTGCTCGGTCTCATTTCTTAATTTCATCTTATCACTTTCAGACACCAATACCAAAACGATAAGACTAATATGTGTTTTATGCAGGGCAAATTAAAACTTGCGAATGGAAACTCGAGAACTTTGTCTTACCGTGGCAGAACTGTCGTAATCTTCCCTGCCACCAGATGCAGTGGCAGTTCCGCTACTGGAAGACTGATGAGACGAGGGTGGTACAAGTGATACTACGGCTATATCCGAGAGTTTCTCGCCGAGTTTTTGCTCGTTGGATCGTTGGAAATGGATCGTTGGTAATGACGACGATGTCGCCGCAGTACCACTTGATGCTGCATTACTGCCCGTTATATTCGTTGCCGGACTTCCTGCGCTCGCTGTGTCACTCGAATCATGAACCTGGAAGAGAAAATAGAGTAAGGCTTATTAATATATATTTAAAAAATGTTTAATTGGACGCAATCTTTTATTAAAAAATTAATATAAATTAACAATTGAATAAAGAATAATCAATGTCAGCTAATTTTATTTGCAATTTAAAATAGCGAATGTTTTCTTACGCATAAACTGTATACACTTTACATTTCGAATTCTAATTAATGTATGTATATTTAAACTAAATAGCATTTAACAATTCATGAGACACTTACAGCCAATTCATCGCAGCTGCTAGTACTACTGCCGCTTTCCTCCTCGTCCGTCAGACATGGTCTCCGTTCCTCGCCCAGTGAAGCGTAGTACTCGGCCACGACCTGATCGAGACTCAATTTCTTTCGGTAAGCAAAATAATAGTTTTTGCACTGATGATTCGTCTTGCCGGGTATCTGCTCGGCGACCTTTGGCCAATTGGTGCCGTGTTCCCGAAGCGCCCTGCGGAGTTGCTCGAGCTCCTCGTCCGTCCACTGACGTGACAACGCATCGGTGCCGTCCTCGGACACTTCGGTACCGCCGGCGAGATGCGGTGCCAAACGGCGCGATATGCGACTGAAGCAGGCCGAGCAGCATTTCGTCGCGCTATTAGGTATTTCTGAAATGAACGAGACAAACGATTTAGCTATGAAGTGAGCACTTGGACAAAGTTTTTACTTCAAGTATGTATTTTCATAAAATTCAGATCAAATATAAAATTTGCATATGTTTGAAGACATGAAATGTGATATTATATATAATTATATAGTGCCAAATCTAACGCATAAATTCTACAAAAATTTGCACAAAGGAATACTTACGGAATTCTTGAGCGATTGGCTCCCGAATCTCCGGTGGCAAGTCGAGCCACTTGGAGGGCAACGCTCTCAGCCGCTTTACTCTCGATTTCGAGCTGCTCAGATTCGGACAGCCCGGTAATGGGCAGGCGGTGTAACGTCCTCGGACGGCCTTGCAGCGACAGGTGTTGCAAACGCGCGCACCAGGAGGCACTTGGTCTTCCCGCAGGCCATACTGCGACGCTTGGCTACGTGGTAACGCGCGACTATGCGCGCTTCCCTCGACGACGCTTTGGCACACCGTGCAAGCGTGAGGTCCTATCTGTTTGCCACCTTCTGAAATCATAATGAGAATTAATTAGAAGATACGTATAGAGATAATGAAAGAAACAAAGTAATGGAACATAAAATCATAGTTTTCGTTTGAAGAATGTAAGAGCACCAAATTACAGAATATCTATTTACAGATAGATTTTACAGATATATCTATTTACAGAAAGAAGATCTGCAAAAGAATTATAGAAAAAATTAATTGAGGCAATTTCAAGAAGTATAAAAACTTTCCCCCTAATGATTTTCGATAAATTAAATTTGCAACATTGTAGTCTTCTCGCGCGTAACACGATGAATTCCTCCGATCGTCCCGCGCGATCAAAACGCGAAAACGTTTCCGAATCGAGAGCGCGTGTTTCGCGTTGATACGCCGCGAGGGAGGGCCGATAAAAATCAAATAAAATATAAAAGCGCACAAGAGAGCGAGACCAGGCGACGATACGCTTGTATCAGATGGTGCATATGCAATGCGCCACCGCCACCGCCACCGCCGCCGCGTGTGTTAGATCCTATCGCGGCGCAATTGCGATATGACGCGCACTGTCGCTAAAACGTCAAAGGGGCCGGTCTATTGACGCGATTCGGCAACGCCAACGTGTCTGCGGCCCGCCGTGAAATATAAATGCATGCGCCGCGTGTGTTACGCCGTGCGCGATACGCGGAACGCGTACAAAACGCGACGAGCACGCGGCGCGATAATGGCCGATCGTGTGCCATTCCGAGTCGTTAAGAGTCGCCAAATGAAATTTCGATGAAGCTCGGTAGTAAACTGGAGCAGACACCAAAACGAGATAAATAAAAATACACGCTTCCTCGCTCGAATATATATTTTTCTCTTTCTCTCTTAGAATCGCATCAGGAGTGTTCAAGTTGAGAGTGAACTCTAGAAATTAATAATATTTCCTATCGTTTATGTATATTATTTAAAAATGAAGAGTGTGTGTATTTGACACCTGTGCGAATATCCACAAATTTTGCGATTGATTTTGATGATCTGATTATGCAACGAATGCTTCAATTTAACGCTCGAACTGTAACGTTCGATCCTCGCGAGTATTTTGGTTCTCAGAAATCTCTTCACTAGAACGTATCTACATTTTCTAGAGTAAACGTTCGACGTTTCCCAGGAATGTTAATTCGAGCGATAAATAATCAGATATTCGTAGGACATTCTTGCTCGACAATAACCGCGCAAACGCGGGGTTGCTTCCGACTGCTATTTAGAGAATGTACTCGGCGTTTATCCGCTATGAAATTGAGCAAATATAGTTAATCACGAGGCGCGGGTGGTAGGTAGGTACCCGAGTGAAAACACGAGCGGGCGAAAAGGGACGCGGGGAGAGGGAGAGAGAGTTGGCGTACGGAAACGGAGCGAGAGACAGTATAATTACTCGGGACTCGACTAATTAAGGACGCCCAATTAAAAAGTTCTGACGTTCGTTCTTAGCCTCCCGCAAACGTCGGCAGCGCTCGCTCCTAAATAAGATCGTTTTGATAGTTCCGTTCCTCCCTAGCTGCGCAAAACTGCGTAAATTTACTTGCGCCGACAATTCTCACGGGACGCGAAATCGAGCACATCTAATATAATCCCGCTACCGCCAGCGAGATGACGGACCTTTGTAAAATAAGTTGCTAAAATAATAACGTCAGCCAAGAGAGATTTCGAGAAATTAAAAAAAAAATCGTTGCTCCACTCGAACGTTACGGAGAGGGCTGCTACTCGTAATGTTTTACGCTGTATATTCCGTGAAATTTACGCAGTATATTACTACATTCGTAAAATATTTATTTAGCAAAATATAATCTTTTCCCCGTCCGTTGCGTAAAGATTCGGAAATCTAGATTAAACAATGAGATATAAGAGAAATAAATTTGATAACCGTTTTTATTAAGACGCAGCCGTACGGTGCGCGTTGCGGTGCCGAAATTAATTTAATTCAACGAAAATACGAATGAAAATCCAGAATTAAACGATGGTCGCTTGACGCTTCGTCAATTATTTAGCGTTCTGTGTACTCCTGGGCTCCCTCTCTCTTTCTCTCTCAACTCGTATCGCCGCGAACCGCGCGGATCCCGAATACCGCGCGCATCTACTCTCCGGTGACCTGTCACACCGAGCCGCGCGTGTCTTTCGGATCATACGCGGGATTATTGTTGACACGGAATTATCAATGTGACGTCGCACTCGTGCAACGCTCGGCGATGGCAACGCGAGGGGGTAGCGCGGTGAGCGCGCCCGGAGCGCGGGCGCGAGTGCCTATAGCGAATACCGCGATTGGAAGAGTTGCCGGCGAGCGGATAGAGGATAACACGTCGTGTGAGAATTTGCGACACTGATTGGCAGGTATTCCCGAGAGCGAGAGAAAATCGCTCTCGCGTAATTCGCGCGCCCCTGCGCCCCGCGGATCGACAGGCCAGGCCAATCCCAGCCAAGTAGGATGCTGCACGGCAATTTTTACGCATTTGTATCTCCAAGTATCGCGGACACCGGGCATCGAGCTGCTGCCCGATCGTTTCGAGAATACACGGGCGCGGCAAATGCATAACGTGCCACCACGATTTTTCGCGATCTGTCATTTACACGACCGGCAATAATATAATTGAATTCGAACGCGTAGTGTAAATTCCATGTTATTTTAGATACATAAATATTTATATTATACACAAATTTGATACGCGTGCAGCATTATTTAATTTATAAAATGTTCAAATATCTTCATGAGCCGGTGCATATTATTGATACGTTAATGATATATTTCCTGTTATTATTTAAATTTCTCTCTCATTTCTACCATCAATTGGATTCTCCAATTTTAATTGAAAATTTTTTGAGACAGAAAGAGAATGACAAATGTAATAGAGCGGAGATTCTTATTTTACATCAAACAGACGAGTTTTCCCATTTTCATGTATAAAATACTGCCGTACCGTTTCTTTATAATAATCACTTCCTTGGCGTTTCAACAAGATTTTTCTTCGAAGCGATTCGTTTCACCGAGAGCAATACCAATAGCGATCCACAGCACAAAGCGAATACAATATATCCGTGGAATATATAACGCAATAACACACATGTCACGTGGAATAATTCGTAAAGCTCGTTCCGCGTACACTCAAAGTAATACGCGGGGAGATCTCGGGAGAGAGCGGATCCGGCAGGTAAAGGAGAGTTAAAACTGGATGAAACGTCGTAATGAATAATTTATACGAGAGCCCATTCAATACGGAACCCATGCGCAGTTATTACGCGATATATTCGCGATATATTCCGGCCAATGTTGGGCGGAAACAAATTAACTCGTCATATCGAGCGACAGTTTCGAGTAAAATTAAGTTTAAAACGCGGAATTTTTTTGTTTGCGTGGGCTCGCGGTTGTCTCACATTTATAACAACATTTATAAGTCAGGAATTAGGACAGGAAGAGATGATTAAATTTTTTTTGTACTAAAATACTTCAATGATTTATCGAGACACGTAATTGAACGTGTAGCGAAACAAAAGCCGCCGCGCGGCTGAAGTCAAACCCTGCTCAAACGATAAACCCGATGAAAAAAAGATGCGGCGCTGCCGAGAACGGGGGACATTACCTCCGCGCTAATTAAGCCTCGTTGATGGAGGAAAGGTAATTTGAATATTTCATAAAGGCCATGCCGCGAATAATTCGCCACTTTGCTTCCCTGTTTCTCCCGTAATAAGACGTTATTCGTGTAATTTGTCTCCTTTCCACAATCTCGCAGAATGGTCTGCATAATTACATGTATGTATGTATGTGTGTGTGTGTGTGTGTATAATTATTTTTAAGATCTTCCTGTGAAATTGCGATGCACTAAACGACCATGCATTGAACAGTACAAGAGATTTCTTCGCGTAATTGATGATCGAACTTTTTTGCGATCGACCAAAGGTGGTCATCAGCTGAACCAGTGGGTAATCAAACCCGAAAGGACATTTGCTCGCGTCGTTTCCCTCGCGGGAATATACCGCGTACATCTCCCGAATAAAATATTCCCTTTGATTTGGTCTCATGTAAACCGTTGCAAAACCCAACCTCTCTCTCTCTCTCTCTCTCTCTCTCTCTCTCTCTCTCTCTCTCTCTTACTCTCTCTCGATTCTTTGATCAATTTTAAGTTTTCTTGATTAGCATTCCCTATGTTTTCAACACTCTGGAAAATATTAAAGTGTCGCATTAAAGGCGTCACAATTATCTCTATTGCTCGCAAAAATTCGGAAAAAAATCCGTCCGGCCACGAGACGGTCTTTCATTGTCAGGTTGAGTCCGTCGCGCTTTAGCGGTTCTCTATGCGGTTCAGCTTTAGAAAACGCGTCGATCGGCACGATTTGCTCGGAGGAGAAAAAGCGGAGAAGTCTAAAGCAAACGCACGGCGGGCTAAAAAGGGAGGCGCGCCCGCCCGCGGCGGCCGCTGCGGATTCGCTCCGGGCTGACATTTTTGTATTTATGTATTTATGAGATTTACGCTCTCTCCTGCGCTGGGCTGCTCCAGCGAGAATGATTAAAAACAAACACGCGCCGCGATTCTTCGCGATTCCACCGCCGCCGCTCGCGTCGTCCGGCGAACAAAAAGAACGGTCGATGTTGTGAGGATGCGATAATACGTGCAATAAAGTCACCGTAATGCCGCGCTCTGCCGGAAACGCGTCCTCTCGTTGTCAACTTAAAAAGATACAGTTCTATACGGACCGTGTAAAAAGATGCGTAATTTCTGACGATACTACAAACAAAAAATGTATATCCTATCATTATGCTGTCTCTTCTGTTTCCTTCTCGTCATAAATATCGATGACACAAAACGTTATTAATTATTAGAAATCATCTGTATTTCTTGCGTGAGAACATAATAATAAGAAAGAAATAATACTTCTTGCCAAAAAATACTCTGAAATATATATCACAACGTTTGCATCAACAATGCAGTATGTTTTATAATTCGCAATTGCAGACAATTTTTCATCGAGTAACGAGGAATCGAATGAATAACGTGTA